ATGTAGGGAAAGCATGTTTCTCCTATAGAATAAAGAGTAGGAAAAGGTAATGCTATGGTGATATAAAGGGTTTAAGTTTTTTTGACTAGATCTAGTCTAGAATAATAGGCAAACCCTTAGAAAGTGCCTAAATCAACACAAGCCTGGGGGAAAACCATAGCATATCAAGCTGAAATTGAAGAGTAGTAGTGGTACATTCGAAAGGATTTGTTCAAAAGGTCAAACCATGTAGGACTAGATTCTCCAGACATCCCTAGATTGAGTTATTTATATTCAAAAAAGGATAATAATGTCCACCTTACATGGCCATCAGGAGGATTAAAATAGATACTATTTGTCTAAGTATGCAGGAGGAGTGAAGTAGGAGTGTATGAGGAGAGTATGAATAACTGTTGAAGATGGAAAAAGCTACCAAAGTTCATAATGTAAGATCTTTCTCAGTGTTTGATGTAGTAGTAAGTCTGATAAATGTTCCACTTAGCTGTAAGTATAAGGCACTGAAAATATAAAGATGTGTAATTGAGTGGAAGATTACACTACCTTTGGCTCCCTTTGTTACAACCTGTGTGAACACTGACATGCTATTTTCCCGCTACATCTATCGGAGGTCCATTAAAATTGCAACCCTAGTCTCAGGAGGGAATAAATTGCATCTATAATGCTGGCCTTGCAAATGCAAATCAATTGGTGATGGAAAATGCTGCTCAGTGGAAGAAAAAAAAAAAGGATTCCATAATTTCAAAAAATGTGAAAAAAAACCACAGTATTCTGGTGTGCATATGTGTTCAAGAGAGATTGAGTGATCATTTTAAGATGTCTGAATTTTGTCATTTTCATTCTGTTTGTATTACTTTGGTCAATGTTTGTTGTAAATACTGTAGCTCAGTATTTGATGAGCATTCTTTTTTAGGCTGGACTGCTGCCACAGTAGAACCATATAGTACATAATTTGCTCTACTAAATCAGATTATTTATATTAATCATATGTCCTTTTAACTCATTGGCATTAAGATTGCTAAACGATCTCAACTATGGTAGTAGTGAACAAAACTGTTCTGTGAGCATGGATTGCATTCGTCACTAGTCAATGCTTTGCAGAATACTGGGGTGTATTTTAGACTAATTTTTAAAAAGGAGAGAATAAGTGGCAAATGAATATGTTTCATATTGCCTAATACCTCATTGTATTCTCTCTTAAATGGGTAAATATTTAACAATTGTTTTGCCAAGTATTCTCTAGATTAATAGATGCTCTGAAGCAATTTTTAAATATTTTTATAGTTATTACAAATATGAAGAATTTATAACAAGCAAATTCATTGATTCTTGTGTTTGTATTAAACAGGTGGTAGAACTAATCACAAACTAAATTCAAGGTGTATTTCAGGTGCTTTAGTGACATAGAAATTTGGCCCCAACCACTCAGTTCTTGGCAAAGTTCTCATCGGATAAATACAACGGATGATATAAAAATGGCCAAAGTTTGTAAGGGCATTATTATCTAGCTTTATAATAATGATTTTGATAGTAGATCCTATGAAACACTCATCAGGGACCAGGCCCTGTGCTAAGCATTTTGCAAACAGAATTTATTGACTCTTCCAAAAAAGGAACATAATCCATATCATTTCTCCCATTTTACCATAAGAAGACATTGCAGGTTGGAGAGGATCATTAACTTGCCCAAATCCACAGCTAGTGGGTGATGGAGCTGAGGTTTGAACCCAGACAGTCTGAATTCCAAATCCATACCCAGGACAACTCTACAATAGAGCTAAGACTGCCAATAACTTATGGCTTTTATTTTGGGCTTTCATCTTTTTTACTTGAAGGGTGTTTCTTTAAAACATGCCAGTTTTTCACTTTTAAATCCTTTTCATTTTATTACGGCATCTTATAGCTTTATATTAAAAAGTGGAAAAGGTCATAAATCAATTGTGCAGATGGCCCTGACTTACGATGGTTTGGTTTAGAATTTTTCAACTTTACGACGGTGTGAAAGCAATACAAATTCAGTAAACTTTAATTTTGATCTCTTCCTGAGATAGTGATGTGCAGTCTGTGATTCTCCGGTGATGCCAGGCAGGGTCCCTGGGCTGCAGCCCCCAGTCAGCCAGAGGGTCAGGAGAGCAAACAGCTGATACACCATTCTATTGCTCACTTTCAGTACAGTATTCAATAAGTTATATGACATAGTCAACACTTTATTATAGAATAGGCTCTGAGTTAATTATTTTACCCAACTGTAGGCTATGTAAGTGTTCTGAGTGTGCCTAAGGTAGGCCAGGCTAATTAGTGAGGATGTTTGGTAGTTTAGGGAAATTGAATGCCTGTCCGACTTACAGTGGATGTATCAGGGAGTAACCCCATTGTAAGCCGAGGAAGATCTGTATTTCATTTTTATTTTTATAAAAGGAAGACAATAAAATAGTGTTTTGGGCTACAGTATAGGAGAGCTTCTGTGTGTGGTATGAATGCAATAAATTTTGATAATATTATTTAAATCTCTTTAGATTCAGCTCTGGAAAAGAAGAAATACCTAATGACAATGAACAATAGAGGGAAGTTTGATGACAAGTTTAAGACAGTCTTAAACTGAGTTTAGAGCTCTGTGTTTCAAACCTTTAGAGAAAAAAGTTATCCAGATCAGGATGATGAATGTGTCTTCAGTCCTCAAATATTAATTTGTTACTGCCTATCACAGACTATTTACTAGAATCGTATTTCTAGACCAAAGATAAGAGACAGACAACTGCTTGATAATATTTTTTATCAAATTCCACCTACTTCAGATATTTAAAAAATTTTTGTTAGCTGAGATGTTCAGAAAATTACCGGAATTATTGCTATGTGATTATAACAATTTATGCTATGATGTCTTCAAATCAACCCAATCTACTTTCTTCATGTTCCAATTAGTTCACAATATTTCAAGATAAATATTTATTTATAAATAAGAATTGGCAGTTGCCAATTTTTAAAAGCAAGAGATGTTCACCATGGTATTTATTCTCATAATGTCTACATTATTGAAAAATAGAAGATAAACCAAAAGACAGGAAAAATGCTATCAAATAGCCACCTTAAAAAAAAAAATGCCCCTTGGTTGATACTTGATCTGGGTCGTCCCTACGTTATAGACTCCACTGGACAAGGATTTAGATCTGGATTTGTAAAGACTAGGCAATACAGACATTTCTTCTCTTCTTCTACTTAGGATAGGAATACCACCTCTGCCATATAATGTGTGCTGATTTGAAAATGTTTTTTAAAATATGAACTATTTAGCTAGAACACAGTGAATAAAAGCACTACATCTTTGTTTAGCTAGGTCAATTTGAGGAATTATATAGGTTTAGTAGCAACAAAATGTTCGAGTATTCTCTGGCTTAATAATTTCAGTAATTTAGCAAAAAATCTATTCCTATTTATTATTTGTAATGTTTGGGGAACAAATATGCTGATAATTCTTTTGCAACTCTAACATGTATGCAACAGGACCCTTTCTAAGTTTGGGACCCTATGAGGTACTAAAGCAAGCATTCACTTCTCTCACGCTTGAGGTCACAAGTTTTTGCAAGTCAAAAAGGTTGAGCATGCCAAAAACATCATGCTGCACACTACCAAATAAAAGAACACTGTTATTCTTACAGGGAAAGGTTTGACAAGACAGGAAATAGGCAGGGTCAGAGAAGTTTACTTAATACTGAGACTTATTTAACCATCGTGAAGCCAAAATACAATGACAGTTAAAAAAAATAAACAAATAGCAGTTACACAAAACAAAACCCCAGGATACATGGTCTCTACTGGAACTGATTATTAGATTTTTAGCAAGTACGGGAAGTGGGTATCCCCAGAGAATCCTCACAAAATCCCTAGACATCTTCACCATTGACTTTTGCCGCATGCCTTTCACTGAGATAATGCGGATTCAAACGGCTTTAATCGGTGGGTAGAAATTTGAACAAAGAAAAATTAGGCTTAAAAGGCTGCAAAAGAACTTCATTGAAGGGAATCATTTTAAAAGCTGTGTTCTCTTAAAAATGGGGAGGGAGGAGGAGGAGGAAAACAGAAAATGGAAGATAGGAAAAATCTAGCTGTTCATTACAATTTTCCATTTTTTGTTTAAACACAGCAGGAGGGCAAAGCTGCTGGCTTCCCTTCATCCTTGCAAATGCCAGGAGGGATTATGCAAACCCCACAACCACCCAAATCTTATTTAAAGTTATAATCATTGTTCTCATTTAATGACTTTTGCCTGCTTTCACTCAAATATTGCTGCATCTTGTTTCCTGCCAGTTTGGACCCACTGGGAGTCGTCAATTCATAATTGCAGATAAACCTTTTAAAAAAAGAAAATGCTACCTTCACCAAAAAAGCAAACATCAAGTGACATCTAGTGGATGTCTGGATATTATTTTCTAAGGCCTCTGAAGAGCAGTATTCTCAACAATAAATTGTCTTAACATCGCTTATAATTTTTGTTTCTCAGGTGAAAGCCTCTGTCTTTTCCTAAGACAGAAGGACAAGTTGTCAGATAGAGAAGTGGCTGTTATGTTTTCTCAAAGAAAAAATTTTTCTTTTCGTTAGCATATGAATAGCAATTCTCAAGATAAACCATCCTGGAAGTAACGCACCTGAAACTCACACCATAGAGTGTGCCAAAAAAGAAGTCATGGTATATCCAATGTTGGACAATTATTTGGGCAGTTATCAACTGTGTAGATGGTTCTTAAGAGAAGATGACATTTCAGGTCCCCAATCCCTCTGTTTATCTATAAACCTAAGGAGCATTATTAATTTGACAAATCTGTATTTAGTCCAACTACGGTCCCCATTTTTCTTCCCTCCCCCCTCAGCCCACGGGAGAATTGTGTAGGTATCTAGGTCCATTTTCCATAAATGAGTAACATCTGCTTGTTCTTTGCAATTTATTAAAGAACAGTGACTTAACCAAAAGAGCAGCTGAAAACTTAATTGGGATTGGGATTGCTTACCAACTCTTCCCCAGCGATGTCATGTGTCCGAAAGGCGTCGTGGAGAATACATGCCTTGCTTTGGTTGTCTAAAGACAGCTTTTGTTAAAGAGACAGAAAGGGAAATTGCAGAGGAATTAAAAGATGGTGTCTAAATTTAGTATTTTCTTTCCTTTCAAGGAAAGGAAACTTGGAATATGCAACTGTAACCCAAAAGCCAGCTGTCTGGCTGTCCCCAAGACTTGCAGCATTTTCGAGCCGCTCTTCATTTTAATAACACACAGACACACAGAGTCCTGCATGAAGACTTCCTCTGACTTCCTGTAGAAAACCTAGCATTCCCTCCTTCCCTTCCTTTCCCCCCAATCATCTCAGGAATTCTTGAGAGTTCTGCTCTTTTTTTTTTTTTTTTTTTTGAGAGTTCCACTCACTGTTAATCTCAGCTCTGCCTCAAACCTCATAGCACTGTCTTGTTCTTTACCTACTTTGGCCCATATGCAAACTTTTCGGCTTTTTGTCGTCCTCCAAAGCACCACGGACACTAAAGCTGTGTGTACAGTCAACTTTACTGAAACGTGGGTAAGAGGAGGGAAGCTGCTGCACAGATGGCTCAGCAAACCCATGGCGGGACTTGGTGCAGTGATACAATGTCTGGGATTTGTTTCAAAATAATTCACTGGGGTTGGGGATGGGGGAGTAGGTGGGGTTACAGAAGAAACAAAATCAGCTATGAGTTGGTAAGTGTTGAAGCTGAGTGATGACTGCGTGGTTCATGCATTCTACTTTTGTATATGATTGAAATTTGCATAATAAATATTTAAAAGAACAAGTTCCTTGTCCATCCTCCGTGCAAGAAGTTTCTTTGTGGCTCCGGTCCCTTCTCCCAGTTAGCTTCCACCACATTTTGGGCCGCCCTCCCACCTGAGTCTCACTGCCCCTGCTCCTTCTCAGGCTGCCCAAACAAGCTTTGAGCTCTGGGACCCACTCTAATACTTAGGGAACCCATCAGAACAGCTTGCAGACTCGCTAAAAATAAAGAAACCAGGTTTTGCCCTAAGAGGAATTCTGCCCTGGCTTTATGACCTACCTGGCTCAGGTAAAAGTGATGGAGCTGGCATGCGGCCTGAGTATACAGCATTTTAAAAGGTTAGTTTCCTTCCTCCAGCGATTTTGATTCTAATTGAAGTTCTTACAGTTGATTCTAACGGAAGTTGGCACAGATAATTATATCAGGACAAAGCAGTTTAAAAGATAATATTCTATGCCTACAAATAAGTCTAGGAGAGAAAGCACAGGTAAAACGTAGCAACTGGGTGATTATTTTTGCCTTCTAACCAAAAGATGTTCAACACAGACATCGCGTCATATATAAATAGACCTATCTTTAGAAATAAACAATATATGTCTCTCTACCCCTCAGCTATGCTGCAGTAGCCAAGGGCCAGGCAGCTATCCCAGCAGGTTCAGCAGCGGTGCACTGGAAGCCTGAGAAATCTAAACACACCCGTCCATGAACTTTGTGGGAGGGGAGGGGGGCACACTGGCCTGAAGCCCATGTAATTAACCAGTTTCTCTCCCATCTTAATCAGCATCAACTGGCCACTGGCTCCTTTCATTTAATCTTGTCTACTTTAGCCTAGGAAAAATGCAGGTTTTACTTTGTGCAGCTCTGAAGTCACCCGAGATTAATGTTCAACACCGCACCCCACCGCCCCCACCCCCGCCAAGGCATGCTTATGAAGAGAGGAAACGAGGTTTATGTAAGGAAGAAGAGTTTTCACTTCGACATGCATGTGCAGGCAGAATAAGAGAATTCGCTCTGGGTGATGATGCTAATAATACGAAGGTGGAAACTGTGTTGCGCCTGAGAGGGAGGAAAGGGATTCAGAAATGAGGGGATGAGGAGGGAGAAGTAGCTGTGACTTCTGCAGCCCCTTGCCAAAAGCCTCTGAGCAAGGGATTGGGAAAGGGAATGCGTTCCCAGTGGTATGTGCCATTGTCCCCAAACACATGGGAGACAATGCCGGCACTTACTTCTGGCGCTAAATTGAGAAAAACACTTCCTCTCTTTCTGCCAGCACCACTTTTTTCTCCCATTCACCCCCGGAGTTTGACACAGTTTCCTTTCCAAGGAGACCGGCTAACATATTCCAGTGAAGGAGCTGGGGGATGGCGTGAGACGGGCACGGGGACCAGTTTAGGCTGAAATGAATTAGGAAACATTTTTAAGTTACCCTTTGAAGTTTTTATTGCCTTATCAAACAGCTTCTCTTCTTTGGCTGTATGTTGATTTTTTTTGACTATGAAAAAGTGTTTCAGCTCTCCTATGATGATCAAACACAGTCTCAGTTCAACGGGCACCTTCTTTTTTTCTGAACCGTACTATTCCACATATCATGGAATTATCCTACACTCCCCCTCCGCCCGCCCCCGTCGGACAGGACCTTCAGGGAGCATTAGTCTTCTTTCAATATTATTTTTCCTATCATTCCCAACAATATAATGTTTCCATTCCGAACATATAGCTGCAGGGGATTATATCATTATTTGCCTTTGTTCTAGTCAAAGTATATTTTATGAGAGCGTCCTGTCATTTGTCCTGAGCTAGGCTACTATTTGTCAAAACATCACCTCTGAGATTGCCTGCTTCTCTAAGATGCCAGAAAAAAAAAAAAATTTGTGTCAACTAAAAGTTAAGCCCTTATAAATCCCACAGGGGTTTCAAAATGGAACACACTTGGGATTTCATTTCCCTCTAAGTATAATGCCCTTTCTAAAACTCAGTGAATACTCTTATAAGAGTATTTTGTGACAGTATTTCCCTTCTAGCCCCTGGCATCTTAGAAAATAGTTACAAAGTTTCTTTCTGCCCGAGGCACCTGTACATATTGGTTTAGTGTTCATACCTGGGGGAAAAGTGGGATTAAATTCTTACCTGGGTGGAGAAGGCGTATTAGATCCGGAGTCAGGAACCTTGGAATCTAGTCCTACAACTGCTGCTTTGGTTGGTTCCATGACCCTAAGCACATCTTAGCCTCTCTTAGTCTCAGGTAGTTCATTTGAAATCTAACAATGTCTCAAGTCTTGGAAAGTTTCATTCTCGACTATGTTTTTATAGTTTCTCAGTGCTGTTTCTATTCACCCTTCCTTTGCCGCTGTCCTCTGTGCTTACTGCCCAGCTATTCTGGCGATGGTCTCTTAACCTCATTGTCACAGACATTAGATTAATATCAGTCTTCCTGAGATCAGCTCTGGGGATGTTACTCTTTGCCCCAACCCTTCCATGGCAGGCCATTGCTTCCCTTGCGCTTAGAACCCTCCAGAGTGGACCAGCACCCACCATTCTGGAACCGTTATCAGCAACTCCTACATGTCCTTTGTACTCCAGTCTGTTTGCATTTTGGTTGTGCCATTTTGTGGAATGTGCCTTGTGCCTTCTTTGTATTTTCAAGGCACATCACATGTTGCAATGATTTCCATATTTGTCTTACTTCCCTTCCTAGATGGTAACCTTCCCAAGGATAATTGCTACGATTTATTGACCCAATATTCTTTGCCGTGGACTGTGTGAGATACTTTACACCCATCATTTCTAAATTTTTCTAATCATGTAAGGTGGATTAGAATTTATTTTATTTTTCAGATCTTGAAGACAGACTCAGAAGCCATTAAATAATGTCCTTAGTCATACAGCTAGCATGTGACGGCTCACATCTAGAAAGTATCATCTAGAAAAACACTAAATTGAATGAACCATGATGCTGGCACTTGCCCAGCACACAGATGCTAGGCAAATACTGTATAAGCGTGAATGAATGAATGAATGAATGAATGATTTTATACCTTAACTACAGCCCCCGTTGTCTAAAGACAACGGCCACCAGGTGGCGGTAGTTTTCCACAGCCGTATAGTCTGGACTCCAAATTCACTAAATACGATAGGAGAGCCCGAAGGGACCCTGTGGATTACCTGACTCTCCTTACTTCATGCTAAAAAAATTGAGCAGCCATAAGGTTACTTTATTTATTCAAGATCTTTTAGCTGATGAAAGAGTAGACCTTAAAGTCGAGTCTAAAACACACCAAAGCTAGCGCTTTTCTATTATACCAACTTGTATGTTTTTTTCTTCAAAACTTGTAGTTTGTAGTCATAATCTTCCCATATATTTTCGATATTAAAAATGTTCATTAAAATAGTAAATATGATCAAAATTAAAAAAAGATGTTCATCATAAAATTTTAAGCTTTTTTCTTAAGCAAATAATATAGTTTTCATGTTTAAAATGATGAAATATAGATAATCCAAAAAGGAAAAAAATTACTTGCAATTCCAACAGTCAGAGACAAGCATTATTTTGCTACTATTCTACAAGAGGTTGCTTTACTTATCTGTAAAATCCATTTTGGAAAATTAGGAGCAAATCAAGACATAATTTAGTAATTTGTTAATCTTAAATTTTCTCTATAATCTTACTTTCATTTTTTTAAAGATTTTATTTATTTACTTGAGAGAGAGAGAGAGCACAAGGCAGGAGACAGGGAGAAGAAGAAGCAGGCCTCCCGCTGAGCAGGGAGCCTGATGTGGGGCTCGATCCCAGGACCTGGGATCATGACCTGAGCTGAAGGTGGCCGCTTAACTGACTGAGCCACCCAGGTGCCCCTATAATCTTACTTTCATAAAAAGTTATTAGGTATTTTCCTTAGGAGACCTCTTGGATCTTTTAAAATTTTTCCCAATTTAACCACGTTTAGTTGCCAGTAAGGGGAGACCATTTTTAATTTACTTCCTTTTTTCCTTACACTTTTTAAGAAGATTCCCTTGGTGAGAATTCCAATTTCATTTATGTTTCCCTTTTCTCATTCTTCTCAGTAAGGAAAAGAAAAGCACTGTCAAAACACTGTGTCCATAACCCATCTCCAAAGGGAGAGGTGTCTTTTCAGCAAAGGGCATTTTATTTTCACTTTTGATAAGTTATTTCTCCCCACGTCACCTCTCTTCTCAGAATGATGATATAATACTAGAGGGTTATTTCTCATCTAAAAGGATTGGGTCAGTTACATAAAATAGTAAATTTTACACTAATGAACAGAGGTACTATGGCTTAAATGCCTGATCAAAGATTACGCTGTTATCTTTACTAGAATGATTACATGCCTCTTAGCATGAGTTTTGCATGTAAAGCTCTCTCTATATTTAGGGATGCTCTCTGAATCTATCAATATTACTACAAATATCATTGAGCTTTGGTGCATGATTTCTACCGTTCTCTGTAATCTGTGGTTCTTAAGACCTACCGTTTATCACTGCTACTTTAAGGGCATGCAATGGAGGTTACCAGTAGGTACGGAAGTTGGGGGGCAGAGAGATGTCTGAACTCTTGGCACTCCCCTAACAGGGACCACTACTGGAGTTGAAGATGCAGGGAAAAGAAGAGAAATGAGAAACCGGACTAAGAGTGAGTTGGGGATGGTCAAAGCAGGACGCTTGCGGTAAGGAGCCCTGCTGGGAATGCTCTAAACGCCAACTTGGACTCACTACCTCCCGTAACCATGCCAGGGTGTCTGAGGCCCATTAACTGCACACTCCTATATCTATTCACTTCACACAACTCCAGGTGCCTCCGTATCTTAGCCCTCTAGTCCTCCATCATTCTTCCATTGATAAGATGGAAAACGAATTTGAGGAAATAATTATGTGGTATGTCCTGCCAGGGGGTATGGAGAGGGCCCTGTGGCAGGAAGTACTGTGGAGGGAAGGTGCTCTGAAACCCAGATCTTGGGTCTTGGCCTCCCTATCCACCTAGGCCAATTGTTCAAGTGCTGGTACGTGGTTTCCTCTGCTGATAGCCACCCAGGTGAGTTAACTGATGGAGCAGCGGATGCTTGTAGGCATCTCCCTGATTATTTCTCTTCTGAGGTGTCCAGCACTAAGGACAGGAGTGGATGGTGGGAATCATCAGTGAGGCAGAATTGTCAAGGAAGAAGGCTTCTGCCTGGGAAGTTAGTGAACTGATCGTGTGGTGATTATTCAATCTGTAGTTCATCTAAAGATCATAAGGTGCGGTCCTACGTGTGAAAACAAGGCTTGTCTTTGGACATTGGTAAAAAAAACTTTGGTTTCCTTTCTGCTGGGGAGGAAGAACTTGCCCTTATAAATGGATGCTACTGGGCTTCCCTTTTCCTACCAACTGAATCCACCCAGTTGAAATCAAGCAAAACTGATGTCAGCTTAGGAACCAAGCCTTATTAGCAGAGGGCTTTCACCTCCTGGAAAACCAGCCTAGACTACTACTTAGGTGTTCTACTTTGTAATTATTTACTATCTTGTACACTTTTGTTTTATTCACTTTTCTAAATGTTGTATTTCACAATAAAACAAAGTAAAGATAGTGGAAAATATCCAAACTTTGCATATGTAACACAGAAAATTAGTCTCCAATGAGCCCAACCCAATTGACTGGTAGGATACGGCTCTTGCATATGGCACGTTCTTTGCTTTCTTCATTAAATTTGCTGTCTTAGGGAAGTTCCAGGCGTCTGCCCTTATGCCGCTGTAAAGAATCATCAGCTGTTTCCTTCCTATGTAGGGAAAAACCAGGTGTGCCCTCTGTCTTTCTTCCCTGTTCGTCTCCTTTACTACTCACATTAAACACCTCAGTTCGGGGCACTCATTGTTTGGAGGCTTTTCCACACACCAAACAATTCTCCGAAATACCAACAGGGTGTCCTACGATTTAACTCAGTTCTGACACGATCTACCCAGAGATAGCATCAGATCCCACAGGTTAAAGGCTCAGTCCCACAAGACTGTCCCCCCCACCACACACACTTCAGATGCGTCACAAGCCCAGACTGTCACCCGTGCTGCTGACCAACTGGCTACAGACCAGAGGTTCCGTGACCCCCTCCTTCAATTCAATTTCCTAGAGTGTCTCACAGAATTCAGGGAAGCACGTTCGTTTACCAGCTGACTGAATGACATGAACAAAGATCCAGATGGAAGAGATGAGGGCAAGGTATGTGGGAAGTGTCTCAGAGCTTCCACACCCTCTCTAGGCTCACCACTCTCCCAGCACCTCCACATGATCACCAACCTGGAAGCTCTCCTAACCTCTTATTTTGGGGATTTTATGGAGGTTTCATCACAGGGGCATGATCCATTATTAATTCCAGTGTTAGCCCTTCTCCCCCCTCAGGGGGGCAGGGCTGGAAATTCCAAGCTTCTAATCATGGCTTGGTCTTTCTGGTGACCAGCCCACACCCAGAACCCATAGGAAGCCACCCAGAGTCACCTCATTTGAACAAGACAGTCATCACCCAGGAAATGACAAGGGTTTCAGAAGTTCTGTGTCAGCACCTGGGGTCAAAGACCCATATTAGAACAAGAGATACTCCTAGTGCTCTTCTCACTTAGGAAATGACAAGGGTTTATGAGCTCCGTGCCAGGAACTGGGGCCAGAGACCAGTACGTATTTTCTCTTATAGCCACCATCTTCTATGGATTAAATGCGCTGATCTTAGGTCTAGTCTCTTGGGTCACATATGACAAACCTAGTTCCCTTTCTGAGTCTTTAAAATCAAAGATCCATCACACCCCCAGGAACCTCCTCTAGCCACTCCTCCTTCCACCCCACACACACTTTTTCTCCAAACAATGCCGCCCACCCGCCACCTTGGCCCACCCCCCCCATCTTCCATCCATCCCTCATGAACATGGTTCCAAGTCTCTAACTTTCAGAGTAGCTTCAGATATGAACAACTTCCCTTGAGTATGGTGCCCAGACGGAAACAGACGCCAGGTACGGATAAACTAGAGGGCTGTCATTAGTCCTCCTCGCTTCTGTATTCTCTCTGCCACTTGGAAGACTGAAGAGACTGCAAAGAACATGGACTGTGAAGCCACAGGACCCGGGAATTTTAACAGTGCTCATTAGTTGAAATGCTAAGCAAGTTACTCAATATCTCTGTGTCTATTTTTGTCATCTATACAGAATGTCTTATCTACTCTCCCACAGGTAGGCTCTGAGAAAAACAAACCAACCAACAGTCTGTAGAAGTAAAGCAGACTTTCAGTAAGTGGGAACAAACATTAACTGTGTGAGCTAAGCCCGAATCTCTTGGCAGTCACATCATACCATTTGTTCTTACTCAACTGTTACTGTGTACTGGTCAGGGTTCAGAGAATAGAATCCACTAGTTTAACAGAAAGAGATTTATTTAAATTTTATTGACTGCAGAAATAATTTATATCATGACCCAGTATACACACAAACACACAAATATGTAATTCAAACAATGTTCACAATATTTACCCATCTGACATGTGTTGTCCTCTGCTGTTTCTCTATTTAATTTTTAAAAATGCACTCGAGGAGTTGATTTCATGACTTACTAATGAATTGTGACCCACAGCTGGAAAATACTACATTGCAGGTTATAACAAGGCCTAAAGAATCACTGGGAGGGCAGAAGAAACAAACTCTAGCCTGTGCTTCCAGGAATCGGGCAGCTGAGAGCTGCTGGCTCCAGAAGCACTCCATCTGCATGACCCACATTCGCAAAATGATGTCTCGTGACCTAAATGATGAATCTGACCCTAGGACATCTGACCGGCAAAACCTACGTGACACCCGAAGCCCTGGTGCAAAGGGGTCTGGGCATACAGCACAGGAAATACGCCTGGAAGGTTGCAAATGATGTCCATCAAGCTAATGCACAGACTCAGCCAACTACCTGCAATGACAGGCTGCGGACACATAGTAACTCAAAAGTACCTGGGATGGACAAACCCAGTGGCCTCAACACACATCATTACGTACTTTATCCCTATTAAATTGCCTGCTTCCTTGGCTATGGCCTGTTATCGCTACTCTAGTGAGGGAAACTCACACAACTTGTACAATTTATTTGATGGAATGAAATCAGAAGAACAAACCATCTGGAAATCCCCAGGTTACATCTTTCACAAACATAGCTTTACCTAGCCAACCCGGGGCCTACCAAAAGGATGATTAAAAAATTATAATAGGGGTGCCTGAGTGACTCAGTTGGTTAAACGTCCAACTCTTGATTCTGGCACAGGTCATGATCTCAGGGCCCTGAGATCAAGCCCAATGTCGGCTCCGTGCTGAGCATGGAGCCTGCTTAAGATTCTCTCTCCCTCTTCCCACCCCTCCCCCAAATAATAATTAAAAAATAACCTGAGGATTCTCTTCTTCCCAATGTCATAAAGAATCTTAAGATCCAAAACATTTTTTAAAGATTTTATTTATTTTATCTCATTTATTTGACAGAGAGAGAGCACAAGCAAGGCAGTGGCCAGCAGAGGGAGAGGGAGAGGCAGGCTCCCCACTGAGCAGGGAGCCCAACTCAGGGATTGACCCCAGGACCCCGGAATCATGACCTGAAACGCTTAACTGAGCCACCCAGGTGCCCCAAGATCAAAAACATTTTTGAGAGCAATGAAGAGAAGGGACGAACAAGGAATAACTTCAACTTCTTTTTATTAACTTTTTAGTCACTCATACAATAATTTGTATCTATGAAAGAATTCAAATTTATTGAATGAAAGGCACTGCTTACGATTTACAAAACAAGTAAGTTGAAGAGGAAGCTTTCAGTGAATTAAATAATACACGGTTTTTTGGATCTGTAATTGATAAACATTTAATTAAAAAAATAAACAGCTTGTATTAGGTCACCACACAGATTTATACAACAATCAGATGTGTAAAAACATAAGTAAGGTTTTAGGGACCCCAACACAGGTATCTTTTCCTAAATCCTAAGAGAACCAAACAGTTTTAGAAGCTAAAGCTATTATGTTTACAGATGTGCAAAACACTAAGCAAAAATCCTTTATTTTTAAGAAAAAAGTACGTTTCCTCATTTTCTATTCTTGGCATAAATGTTAATTCTTCCCCGTGGAACCAAAACCTCCTGAACCCCTTTCAGTGTCATCTAAAACCTGAAAAGACATAAAGGTGGTTGCCAGGTAGTTAATTTCAGTTCTCTTTCGGTTCTCTCTAGCTCCTAACCGCTAAGACTTTTATTCTTGCTGTATAAGCGTGAATGAATGAATGAATGAATGAATCTCCTCTTCAAAAAGGAGATTACAAAAAGAAAATTAAATTTTTAAAAAGCTCCATAAATAAGATACTGGACAATTTTCAAAAAAGCTAGAGAAATAGAATTTCAGGGTATATTTAAATGATTTATTACCCAAAGTAATGCTATATAACAGCTATGAAAAACATTTCACTAAATTCTAAAACTAAGCTTTTAATTTTCCTTTAAACAGGACTATTATATGTGCTATTACTTAGTTACAAATACCATATGGAACCCTTGAAATTGTATTTTTCCCTTCACTGAAGATGTTACATCATTTATTCCCTGCTCAGCTGTTATGATACTTACCTGAACTTCCTCTATTTCTGGATAAAAAATCCGTTCACAAATGAGCTGTGCAATCCGATCGCCCTTTTTGACTTGAAAGGAAAAGAAGAGTTTATTACTGATATTTTATTGATCCTTTCTCTATATCTTGCCTGTACAGTGAGAATTTGAGGAGGGAGCATGTGTTATCTAGACACTCAGAACTCAGAAAACTCACTGCATTTATGTGATTATATGCATCTAACGTACCTTGAAACTTTTCTTTGCCAAAATTAAATAGTACGACACCCACATTTCCTCTGTAATCTTCATCTATGACGCCAGCTAAGGAAAAGAAAAATAACAGAAGCATGGTTTATGCGACCAAAACACTGAGGGTGTAGGATTACCTCAAAATCATTCTTATGTAGCTCCGAGGTTTTAATCCGCAAGAATGAGTAAGTGAATCTTGCTCTGGAACTAGGTAAAATCTCAAAACTAAGAAATGAGTCTTACTAAAATGCAAACACATAGAATTTATAGAACGGCCCTAATTTTCCCACCTGTCACCCTTACAAATGGTGACCATTTCCTATTCTAAACTGGGAGTAGGTACTTCACATCTCAGATGGGTCATCCTGAATTGCTCACTCCAAAACTACTGTTCATCTGCTGCACACCTGCTAAAAAGACTAGAAGAAAATTACGACTAGCGTTTTAAAGGTTTTTCCTGGCAGCACCTTCCCACTAATATCCAGAATGAAATATGATTGAGTCATAAATAAAAATGTCCAACAGCCTGAAGATCTGCTGTGGAATAAGCCAATGCTGACATTGTTAAGCCGCAGTCTAGCTAATATCAGAACATTCATTTTATAATAAAAATGGAGGTGAATCCTTCCGTTCATATTCCACCTCTCCTTTTAATTTGAGCCACCGTCCTTTCTTAGAGCGTGATCTCTCAGAAGACATTAGCACATCCGCTTAACAAGGAGTACACTTTTCTATAACACCGTGTGTAATCAGTACCTGTTTGAGATTATGAACACAGGGACAACAAATCTTTGCAGGACAAGACTTGAGCCAGGGCCCTAGTACATTTACCAGGCTTGTTAGCATTTAACTTTGAGCCAAGAACTTAAAATGTTTCCATAAACACAAGCACAGATAATGCAGGTGTATAGCAGGCCTTCCCATTTCCTCTTTCAATATTGAGACATAATTCACAACTCAACGGTTTCTAGCATATTCGGAATTGTGCGACCATCACCACAATCAGTTTGGGGGACCGTTTTCATTACCCCGAAACAAAATCCCCTATTAGGAGTCACTTCTCTTCCTCCTCATCCTCCCCACTGCCAATTTCCTTCTATACACGTTCATTCTTTCCCCTCAGTTTGTGAAATTTCATGGCACCCTAATTAAATGTAGCTCCATGTCACAGTTTACATATTAGTAACACCCCACCTCCTAAAAACCAAACACACAAAACTCTTATTAAAGAAAAAAAAAGAAAGTAAAAATAATCAGGATTGTAGCTCAATGGGTATTAATGCTGATTGACCAGACTCATAATTATTTTGAAGGTCAACTGAAATTTTTTTTTTTTTTTTTTTAAGAACAAAGGTAAGCATTCCCCTTCAATTTTCTTATAGGGGAAAAATACTCAGAAAAACCAACATTTTAGATTTTTCCAGTGGATTATAGAAGTTTACATGAATCCCTGTGCTTTATGAATGATTTACTAGGGAGAAATGAAATCAAATTGAAGCATTCTTAAAGGTTCCTGATACACTTTTAAGAGTTTGAATTAAAGGTCAGTAATTTTAAACAGTGAGAAGAAAGGGTAGGTACGTAGCAGAACGGCAGCAGAGGAGGTTCCTATCATGTTAGACGGAAGGAAACAGTCTATTCTTTTCTGGCTGCACAGAAACAAAGCCTTGACCAATTCAAAGAATCCTGAAGCCTGGCTTCTTTCCCCACTGCCACTTGACCATTAAATTAGTTCTTACTGTGTCATTGGTAGAACAAGGGGACCAGCTGTTTTCTCTATTATCTATATGCAGCAAAGGTCTGGCTGTAGGAACAACCTGGATCAGATTCACTGGAGAAACCCCTGTGGAGAACATGCTATTCCCTACTAGAACAAATGAACCCAGAAGACCACGGAATCTCTGAGCTGCAGATCTCAAGTGCGGGCTAGTACTCAGTTGCCTGGAAGGGGTTCGATGAAGACAATGTGGACTGACTTCTGAAATCTTAGTTTCTACTTTATAAGAAAGAGCTTAGATTACCCAAATAGTACACATACATATAAAACTAATACTGTTCCCCTACCTTCCCTCGGGCAGCCAATGTTACAGTAATGGATTTTACGTATTACTTTCTTATATATTAGTCAGATGTCAGAAGTCCTTGTATTTTAGTGATTTTAGTCTCGCATCAAAGTATTTCCAAAAGGCACTTTCCTGATCCAAAGGGTGTGTACATTTAAAATTTTAATGCATATTTCTAGATTACCTTGCAAAAAAGGTGTAGCAATTCAAACTTCTATCAGTGATATTTAAGAACGCCCATTTCCAAAGTCCTTGCCAATACCAAACGACAGCAATCTTTTTTTCAAAGATGTGGGAGGAGGGGCAAGGGGAGAGGGAGAGAATCTCAAGCACACTCCATGCTGAGCCTGGAGCCCAGAGCCTGACTCAGGGCCTGATCTCACAACCTGAGCTGAAACCAAGAGTCAGATGCTTAACCGACTGAGCCACCCAGACACCCCCAGATGGCAGCAATTAAAAAAAAAATTCTGGCCAATGTGATGAGTGAAAAATGGTATCTCATGGCTTTACTTTGTATTTCCCTGATGACTAATAAGGCTAGAATGTTTTTCCTCTGTATGTTTGTTGCACATTTGTATGACCTCTTCTGTATTTTGTTTATGATTTTTCCCCTTATTTGTTTGGGTATTTAATTCTTTTGCCTATGACCTGCAAGTATTTATGTTTTTACTTTATGGTATCTTCTCCCATACAAAAACACTCCCTTTTTGGAGAGACCTTTGCTATATATCTATAAAGTAGTCCCATCAAACTCAAATGGTTGGGTGTCTTGAATTCTGTAAAGCCAGATATCTACTAAGATTTTATGCTTGGCACATAGAGATGTGAAAAGCCTTTTAACTAACTAAAAGAAATGAAGTTGTTTGAAGTCAATTAAAATGTATCACAGGAAAAAAAGCGCCCTCAGTAATACTTTTTTTTAGCATGAATGCCAATAGTATGAAAAATGCAATTGTTCCAAGTTTATTTATTACTCAAAGGCAATTTGACCTTCAAGAAAAACCCAAGACATTCTTTTTCTACATAAGGAACATAAGCATCAGGGATATTTCTCTTCATGAGAAAGCAGAAAGTATTTTGAAGTTATCACTGGAAAAATCATACATTGGAACTGGCAGAGTAATTAACTGACTTCAGGCACAAGTTTTTCTGTGTCAAGACTTTGGCATGTCATTTGTTGGAAACCTTTAGTGAAAACTATCCACACCTACCAGATGTGAATTCTGAACAGAATCCTGCATACTCAACTTTTCCCTTTGACCCTTATTTACAGCCTGGGATTTCTAACAACATCTCTCTTCTGAAGTAAAAACTGTGGCCAACTATGATAAACGTGTGCCTAAGAGACATTTTTAAGATACTCTGCATCCAAGAACACACCACAGTGTGATTTTATGAATAATACCACACCAACCACCAGGCAAACTAACTTTCCATTTCTTTTACATGAATGTTTTTCAGAAGGTTGTTTTAAACAGAGCAAAAATTAGTAACAAAGTTAGAAAAAAAAAAAGTTGCCACATTAAAAAAAAATCTTTGCATTCTCTAGGGGACAAATATAACTTACAGGGTCTAATTAATATGAGCCAAGCAGTGTGAGATGCTTTGCATATATTATCACTCAATCCTCCTATCCTTGTGAGGCAGGCACACTAATTTTCTTTTTATGGAAGAGCAAACTGAGGGTCAGAAAGTACGAACTAGCCAATTAATGACAAAGCTGGGACCCAAGTCTAGTTGTTACTCCAAAGCCCATGTTCCTTTCACAACCCTTTGACATTTCTTTAAAAATATATGCAATCTTCTATATCCTGAAGCGACAGTCCTAAATTGCCATACTTGACGTTATAAAATTATTTCTGAGAAGCAAGCATAAGAGCACACAACCCCAGCGGGCTGTTCATCCCTGCTTGGTCAAACCTGGCTTCTCTTCAGTCCCTAAGAAAGGACTACTTTGGGGATCGTGTCTTGCCCCACAGCACCACCTAGTGACACCAAAGGGAGACTGAGGGGCAGGCCAGAGACAAGGCCAGGGACAGGCCTCACTCCTTACTTGATGCCTGCAGCGCAGGTTAACAGCTAATTCAGGACAGTGCCTGGCTGGTGCAGGGATGGGGTGAGGTGATACCTAGCATTTAATTGCAGTGTAAAGAACAGAGGGACTGGAATCACGGATGAAGATTCCAGGGTTTAACATGTCAGCTTGGGCTCATTGCTGAGCCAGTTCTTCCATCTGTTAAAAAGTAGCTTTGTGAAAATGGAGGGATTTGGAGAATCTAGCATACCGCTCATTGGAGGGCCAAGATGACTAATTAGGTGAAGCACTCTGCTCACTAAGATGGGAATAAAAGTCAGGACAAAGGTCAGTGAGGTCCGTACCCCAGAAAGGAGGAGATCCAATGCAAGGGAACCATACCAGAAAGGTGAGAATTTCCTTATGGTGAGGGTGGTTAGAAAGCCTACAGCAAGACAGCCAGCAGAGACTTGGGCTCTTTATGAAAGGGGCTCCACGACGAAGTTGTTGACTTTGGGAGATGTGAGTAAGGCTTTATCATAAGGGAAACAGGAGTCGCTGAGTACTTGTTCGACAAAAAATGTAGATAGGGAAGCATAGTGTTTTCTCTTCTCACTTAGGGAGAATCTCTCTTTATATTTTGCCAAATGTGGATGGCTCTCTTATACAGATATGAAAATTCATACAAGACTGACCTGTATTTTCTATAACCTTTTGCTTAAATAATTTAATAATTATTGCTTAATTTCCTAATTATTTAAGCAAAACATAACTCGCTTAAAAATGACATAAAAGCTTTTCCTACCCTTATAAAACTACCTTTCTTCTAAGAATAGAGTCATTTTTGGACTAAATGCAGATTATCACTAAGCCAAGGCAAAAATCCTATCCGTCGGATAATGTCTAGTTAGCCTATTAGTAAAATAACATGCATTTCACGTCATGGTCATTTTAAAATTAGACATATTTAAATAATATTTGAAACTACATCACGATCGTCTATTATTTAAGAGGTGGAAATTTCTAAAGAGGCAAAACACAACAAAAGTCATTTCCTTTCCTTGAATCTGTCATTTGATTACTACTTCTTAAGCAAAGGCAACGTAAACACATACACATATTTACAGAAGAAAAATGGAAACATATTACCTCCTACATCGATGAAGTGTTTTGCAGCCAAGCCAGAACGGGGAGCTAAAAAACAAAAAAAAAAGAAGTTGGCTCCTTTGCAGGGGGAAGGGCGATACCGGATGTAATTTACACAATTTAAGCATGCCACTCTCATCTCCTAGGACATCTACCTTTTCATCTTTCAGATGGTTCTGGATTCAAGAATATCTTTATTATACTGTATTATTAAAGCAGGAAAGAACAGTGTAGAAAAACTTGACAAAGTTTAACTCAAAAGCAACTTAAACCACTCTCATGCGACTTCAGTCCATTGAGGATTTGTGGTGGTGTGGTCAGTGGACCATGGCAGCAGACCGTGGCGGGTAGACTGAGAGGTAAGCAAGTGGGGACAACCTCGGACAACGCTTTCAAGCAGTCTGGCCACAAAGGGAGGACCGTAGCAGGCAGCGACACAGGACTGCAGAAGACTTATTTTAAGATGGGAGATCTGAGCATGATACAGTCTAAATGGGAAGAGGGCAGAGGGGGAGGGTGGAGAAAGGTATAAACTTAACCAATGGTTATCCTAGAACTTGGGACCCTTACTCATGATTCAAATGCCAAATGACATGTCTGTATAAACAAATGAATCAGAGTAAGATAAAAGGCCTCGTATCAGTCAGGCACATGGTCAAAAACTAAACCTTAAAAATTCAATTCCAATGTTTTTTATTTGTAAAATGAAAACATAGAAAGGAACTTTATACCTTACACTTGCTGACTTGAGCATCAGGCCTCTCATTAATTATTTTGGCTTCTATAATAATTAATTATAAATAATTAATTATTCCAGAATAACTTCAATCTGGCACTTTGTCAGTATGTGCTGCTTCTCCCTGCTTTTCCTTTTATTTCATTCCATCTCCTTATCCCCACCCCCCAAAATATTCTCAAAATGCAGCCATATGCTGCCAAAAGGAGATGAAGAAAGAGCCCATCTCGGTTTTTCTGTGAAAGGCAGAAGTATTAGCAGTTCTCACACTCATGGCTAACAAGACAGTGGTGGTCTAGCCCCTCCCCACCCATAGTTCCATTTGTTCCTTTACATTTACTCTGAAGTTAGAAAGTGATTATTCAATTGAAGAAAGTTTTGAACTCTCTCTCCAATGACAGCTGACTTGCTCTTCATTTTGTCATAGCTCCTCCCACTATAAGGCATTCAGTCCCCTCTAGGGCCCTGAAGGGTATCCCTGACCCCAACATACCCCATGGGAAGACACCCAAAGCAGGAAAGACGAAATGGTCTGATGGACTCTGGGAGAACAGAAGCCAGAAGTTTTACTCTCGGGATAAAAAATGCCATGTCATTAGCCCAAGCCTGCCTCTATTTTCTTATATAACAAATATTAGCCATTTCATCATCATCTTCACGAAGACACCTGACCTCAGATGCAATTTGATCCTTGAAGGGGGAGCTCCAGTTAAAAATCATCTGTATTTTCATTTTCTCAGTGAGGAGTTGAGAGAAAAACTCCTGGGCCAATGTGAGCCTCCTAAGAGCTCAAGGAATCAGAAAAAAAAGAGGGGGAGGGCCGGGGGGGTAGGGGTGTGTGTGAGCACAAAAAGCAGATATGTAAATGAAATGTAGTTTTCAAATGGCTGTATTTGCCATCACAGTTGACACTTCTTTATTCTAGGACACATGCCAAACAGTATCTCTTCCCTCATTTATACCCTAAATGAAACTAAGATGAAGGAATAGATGATAAAGGAAAAGCTTGACAAATAGTTAGCATGTCTTAAATCACTTACCTACTCTTCCATAGCACCCAGACGGAAGAGCTACCTGAATGTCCGTTTTCACAAGGGCTTTCTCCATAGGTGGTAGGGTATAATCATAGGCACTAGGAAAGTGATGAAAGAAAATAGCAAGTATTTATTCATAAAATTTTTATATTTTCTTCCTTGTGACTAAGTATATAGAATTGCTTCAAATACATCTCATAAAATAATCACAAAATAATTCATGCAATCTTAAATTTCAATAACCCATCTGACTCTGACTTCAGTACTCTAAATTTCCAATTCAGATTAAAAAAAAAGTTTAGGGGTGGCTGGCTGGCTCAGTCGGTGGAGCGTGCAACTCTTTCTTTCCTACTTTTTTTTTTTAAGAGAGGGAGAGAGAGAGACAAGGGGGGGGAAGGGGAAGAGGGAGAGGGAGAGAATCTTCACACAGGGCTCTATCTCACAACCCTGAGATCATGATCTGAGCTTTCTGAAATCAAGAGTCAGATGCTTAACCAACTGAGCCACCCAGGCGCCCCAAGTGTGTGACTCTTGATCTCGGGGTTGTGAGTTGAAGCCCCACATTGGGTGTAGAGATCATTTAAAAATAAAAATTTATGAAGAAGGTAGTGGTAGATATTTTTAGTCCATTATTAAAATGGTGCTACCTTTAGATACAGTCATTCTGGTGAATTTTTTTGGTTTAAGAGGTTATCAACATGTAATCTTGTTCTCCCCTGAACAAAATTTTGTTGGGAAATTGAAGTGCATATTAGCAGGAGGGGGCAGAAAGGCAAACTTTTGAAAGATGCATGCTTCACTAACATGATATAAAAAGAGGAAGAGAAGAAAAAACCAAGGGGAGATGTGCAAAGATGGTGGCATAGGAAGATCCTGAACTCACCCACTCCCACAGACACACCAAACCTAGAGCTACATATAGGATCATTTCCCTCTGAAAAAGAACCAAGAAAGAAGGGCAAATACTCGCTAATAAGAGCTAACATTTACTAAGCCCTTACTTACTCTGTGCCAGGTACAGTCCTAAATGCTTTATATAACTCATTTTATTCTCACAACAATCCTCTAATGATTAGGGAAGACATGCAGAGGGAAGGGGAAAATGGGTGGACAACATGGGGGAGGGCGGAAGGTAGAGCAGTGTTGTATCTGTTCTGCTGGTCTCGGTAGTTAACCACACTTACCAAGCTGATACCAAAAACCTTACTGGCTGGGGGACAGAGCTGATCACTGGGAAGAGGCCCTGGAGAAGGACACTGCTGAGGACCCGATTCTCTAAGATCCACCCGGCAAAAGCTGCTACTGTTGCTATGACTGTAGCCCCCTTCTTGATGGAAATGTGAGATTTTAAAACGAGCAGAACTTTGGCGATCTTAATGAAGACTAGTAATGCAGTATTACGTTTTCACTTCTTTCATTGGGATTTCCTCTTTCAATAGTTAGACCCTAATTTTTTTTTTAATTTTATTTATTTATTTGAGAGAGAGAGAATGAGAGAGAGCACATGAGAGAGGGGAGGGTCAGAGGGCGAAGCGGACTCCCTGCCGAGCAGGGAGCCTGATGCGATCCCGGGACTTCAGGACCATGACCTGAGCCGAAGGCAGTCGCTTAACCAACTGAGCCACCCAGGAGCCCTAGACCCTAATTTATTAAAGAGAAAAGTTATTTCCATGTCTATTTCCGGATATAGTCATCTTTGTTCATTAGGAGGATATTTTAAGTATGTTAAATCTCTCATATGACTCACAACAATGCCCAGACATGGTACCACATCATTCCACTTTTATCCATGAGGACGAAGGGACTGAATATATCCCTTTCAGCTATAACAGACCATACCTCACTTTTCTTTTCCTTTCCTTTCTTCATTACTATCATCACACACTCCTTTTTCCCCTTCTCTGTACTTGTATGACTTAGACCAGTAGTTCTCACATTAGAATTACCCGGGATGCTTTAAAATAATTCCTAAGGATTTAGTCATGTAGTAAACACCCACTCCCCCCAGTATCGCTGTTCACCTGCTTTAATGGCTTCAAAGACCTGGACACAGTAGTCAAGGCAGGGGGAGGGGAGCACTGAACTAAGGGTCAAAAATCTTATTACATTCAAACTCGGGGGCAATCAATTCAGCTCTTCCCAAACTCCCTCACCTGTAAAAAGGTAAGTAACACTTATCTACTTCAGGATTGTTGTGAGGATTAAATAAAATCGCATACGTAAAGTTTTTAGTAGAGGTAAAAAGTGCTGAACCAATGGAAGGGTGGTAGCATTACTCACATTCCCGCTGCGTTTCATATTCGTGCTCTTTCGGACATTCCCAGTCCTTGGGGTGAACTTATATATGGACATATAGAGAAATTTCACAATTCCTTTAAGGCAGAAGCACCCTTCATTAATCCTCCCTGGGTATTTTTTCACACCCAGCACCCAGACTTCCCCCGTGGCTTTTCTTTCTATTGTGCACTGCATCACCCTCAGGCCACGCTTTGAAGCCAAGCCGGGCCTTATTCATCTCTACCTTCCATTTGCAAAGGGTACAATAAATGTTGCAAAACAAATAATGCCTTGATGGACACTTATATGTAGTTACCATTCTGCACGCTTGTGTCAAATCCTTATTGAATTTCTGCTAAAGAGAAAAGCTGAAATTTTCAACACTAGGAAAAAGACAGAAATCCTACATATATGCAAAAAGGGTTTGTTTCTGTAATCTTTTAGGTCAAAGTTTCAAGCTGTGGCAGCAGATGGCACGAATATAAGCGAACATGATTGAGAGCTCTAGAATTCCAGAGCTGGACCTTCTCTGCGTGAGGTAGGGATGGCGCCGGCAGAAGGCGGCCGGAAGTCCCCACTCACCTGTACAGGTCGTAGCCTGCAGCCCGCGCGGACCCCTTGGTCGGGGCGGTGGCGTGCTCTGAGAGCCGGACAAAGCGGAGCCGCATGCTGTCCTCCGCAGGCCGGGGCCGCTTGCTGGGGGAGATGGCGGGTGTCGCTTCAGAGCAGGGCATGGCAGAACAGAACGCAAGAAAAGACAGCAGCAGAGAAAACAAACGCACACAGAATGAGAGCGCCCGCCAGAATTTAAATCTCCCGCCAGCAACTCCTCGCCCCGCCCCTCCCCTGGGCGAGCCCACAATTCTAGCTGAGAGGGGAGGCAAAGATTCAAATTTGGGGCTGGAAACCCCTCTTGGAAAGCGGATTTGGGATAGGAAACTACTGCGCCTTCTCAAGCTTTTCCAGCTCAGGGTACAGTACCAATGTGTGCTGGGACAGCTTCGGGGCCTCCCGCTCACACAATAGAAAGCAACCACTTCCCCCATTAGGGGGCCCTAATGGACTCGCGCGCGCGCGATTAGAGGCTGCATACCCTCCCAGGCCCCTCCCCCCCGCCCCGCCCAGATCTAGAGGCCTTGCTGGTCCCCGCCCCCTGCCGCCCCCTCCCCCCCTCCTCCCCTCCCCCCCTCCTCCCTGGGCGGCCGCGGGGAGGGCCGGCCGGGCTCCCAGCCTCCGCACACGCCCTACACGGCGTATCCTTACAGCCTGGGCCCCGACATTACTGGCGCGGCGGCAGCCCCGGCTCCGGCTGCGAGTGCTGGACAGCGGCCAGAAGAGAGGCCCCGCGGCTTCAGCTCTCCGGCCGGCGCTGTGCGCGCACACTAAGCGGAGCACAGACGTAAGCAAATCGCCGAGCGCGGGGCGAGAGCAGAGGGGAATCATCTGCCCCGAGGTTTGGTGCTGGTTGGCTCGTCCCCTCCCGCAGGCGCGCGCCGGGTCTGCAACCCTAAAGCCGCGTCCGAGTAAGATGACCTCGGAAGCAGTAACCGCCGCCGTCTGACGAGGAGCGCACGGAGGCGGCGCTTCGGCCTCCCTCAGGCTGGCGCAGACGCTGGGACCCCAGGCACGGCGTCTCTGCCTCCCTTCTTCGACCCGCATCTTTTTTGTGGCCCCTGTTTGCCAAGACCATCCGCGAGGCATAGGGCCCGGCCCCTGCGCACTGCTGAGTTACCTGGGGCGGCGCCGCTCGCGGCCATGGCTCCTCAGGTTCTAATCCCAGAGACCCCCAAAGCAACGGAACCTGATCACGATGCCCGTGACAGTCGCCACGCTCAGTGATGCGTCCTAGGCTGTGGGCAAGGCAGCGTGTCCCAATTCCTAACAGCACCCGCAGTGCACGGCGTGTCGTTTACCCTTAGAGGAGGGCGGGGGGCATGGTTTCAGGATGATCCCAAGGACAACTCAGTTGCTAGCGCTGTTTCATAAGACCCACAGAAGCACAGAGAGGGAGACCCCCAGTGGCTGTGACTCGATCAAAGATCTTGGGCTACCCTGGAATAACAGCAGGGATGAGTAAATAACTTTATAGGTAATCATAAGTTGGGTTTTCTAGGATATAAACATATCCAGTAATTTCCAGAACTGATGCAAAAAGCTGAAAACCAAAATATAACGCAGCTTGTCAAAATAAAGGCGAACTATAGGGCAGTTTTAGAAAAATGACAAAAACGTTAGGGTATTGTTGAGGAAGTTCCCAGCCTTTCCTGCTGTGCCTTATGGGCCCCACGTCTGCCGTTTCTTACTAGCTCCTTTTAAATGTTGGAATTCCTCTGGATGAGGTTATGGATTATACTCTATACTCTCTTCCCATGCCTTTACAAAACGCACAAACAAAAAATATCTACCACCTGAGACTCCACTTGCTTACCTATAGCAACATGATCTGGGCCCTGCTAGGTCTCCAAACTCAACAGAGCCATCATCTTGCTCACCTCTGGTGCTTCTGGCCACAGTGGCTTTCTAACAAGTTTCTATACCCACCAGACTTTCCTGCCTGGGAGTCTACACACATCCTTCCTTGGTTTGTATTTTGTGTGTTTCATCTCAGCTCATCTCAGAAGGACTACTTCAGTTAAGTTTGTCAGGGAAGGGCTTCACCACCACATTCTATCACAATAATCTTTCCTAATCATACCATGTATTACTACAATCTGTACTTCTTTCATTGTTTATTTATTTTTCTTATTGTCTATTTGCTCTAGTAAACATAAGCTCCAAAGTTTAGGGGCCATATATGTCTTCATTCACTACTGTATTCCTGGGGTCTAGGTTAGTGCCTGGCTCAGAAGAGTGCTTGGTAAGTGTTTGTTGAATGAATGAAAGAGATCCATCTGGCCCCTGTATAGGATCTCTTCTCAAAATCTTGATTTTCCTGTTCACCCCTTTAATTTTTTTTTTTAATAGAGTTAGAGAAAGAGAGAAGGGACAGAAGGAGAGAGAGAGAATCTTAAGCAGGCTACACACCCAGCGCGGAGCCCAATGCAGGGATCAATCTGGCAACCCTGAGATCATGACCTGAGCCAAAATCAAGGGTCGGTTGCTTAACTGACTGAGCCACCCAGGTGCTCCATGCCCACCCCGTTAATTTTTAATCAATGTGTTTTGTTTTTCTATATAATGCCTTTTCAAGGCCTGCAATGAAAAACTGGTCTACCCCTCCACCAAAACCCTCCCTCAGATTTCACTCCTCAGGGGAAAATGCTTCCGACTTTTTTTGGTTCTTTCTACTGGAGTGTACTTCCCTATTTCTAAATTATATGTTGCTATTTTTTTTAATGGCATAGAAACTTTCTTCAGAATTAGGGTAGTTGAGGATTAAGTCTCTTACTGCTTTTTCCACCCCATTCTGCAAATAGTTTTGTCATAATTTTTGGATAAGTGAGCAGTACTTATCATGACTGTAAATATTATCCACTGTTGAAATGAGTAATGTGATATGATTATTTTTTTTAACACCTGCCCACCTCAAGTTAATAGGGATGTTGATCTTCCATTTGTCTTTGTTGGTAGTGGTGTTTTTGGTTCACTTATTGCTTGCTCCCCCCACCCCCGCCACCGCCCACCAAAGGCTCCAGAGAATCCAATACCTCACATCTGTCACATCAAATGAAACACTGAAACACATCAAATCCCCTATCAATTCCATTTCTCCTCTCCCTCACTCCTCTGTTCTTTTGCTCCAATCTGTGCGTGTGACTCTCTAGTCCTGCTGAATAGCTATCATCCTGGCACTTCCCTTTGCCCTTCTCTTATATTGGAGCCTTGGTTTTATGGATCTATTATCTTCCTTTTAGTTTATTCCTTCATTTTGCTGAAGCACTTTCTCTAGTAATTACCTGAGGAAGTTCACATTAGAGATAAATTGAGTCCTAAAATATAATAATTGTAATGACTCCCTTTACCCAGACCCAAATAAAAATCTTACTTCATTCATGAAACTTTTTTACAACCAGTAGTGAGCTCTGCCTTGTCTTATCTCTTACAATCCTGACCATATCATTCATTAGCCATATCCTCCCATTGTGTAATCACCTCACTTTATGCATTTTATCTTTCACATTAATAAGAGCCAGAAACTTGTATGAATCCTTCAAAGCACATACTTCAGTGTTTTATACAAAAAGTTATTTGTTTGACTCTTTGTAATACCTAGTACCAAGAAAGGATTCTATTTCTTCTCTTAATGTGGATAAAATTTTTATTATTGTCACTTTTCATCTGAGTTTATTTTAGATTGAAAGGAGAAAAGGGTATTATCCAACTGCAAAAGAGTAATAGGTTAGCGCTCTGAACCAGTGAGCATTTAGTAGGACATTCCTTGTGACAACTGAAATATAACTTGATATGAAAATACATCCTAAATTCAGTACTCTACAGCAAAGAACTAGACGTATTCCAACCACAGTTTATTTCCTGCTGGTTTTTTATCAGAATATAATCATCCTATCAGTCATGCTGATTAATTAATTACATAAGTCTAGTGCCAACTTGAACCTGTTGAGAATGCAAGTTGGTACTTTACAAGCCAAATTGTCCTTCCTATCTTTACCATTATAGGGAGATTTCTCTCTTTAACAAAGACTTAATGCCAAGTATATTTTAAGTGCTTTATGAATATTAACTCACTTAATCGTGACAAGCAGAGGAAGCCAGTGCTGTTATTATCCCCTTATTACAGGTGGGGAAACCAAATTACAGGTTAAATGATTTGCCACAATCACACAGCTCACAACTAGAAAGAGATGGAGCCAAGATTCAATTTGAGGTAGTCTGGCTCCAGAGTCCTTACACTTAGCCACTGTGCTCTGTAGGTTTATATGAGCCTGCTGAGTCTGTGATTAACTCTTCTTGATGCTGAGCCTGCTACTGCCCGTGTTCCCCAGGTCTGGGGAAGATGTGGGTAGTAAATTAGCCAGGCATTCCTAGTTTCACAGTTGATCATGCCCGCCTTGTTGAGACACTTCCTCGCCAGGCCATACTCTGGTTTAACTCTTACCTCATTGGCTGTCTCTTCTCTTCTCGACCTCTCTTCTTTCACAAGATAAAAAGACTTGGAGGGGACGCCTGGGTGGCTCAGTCAGTTAAGCATCTACCTTTTGGCTCTCGTCCTGATCCCAGGGTCCTGGGATTGAACCTCGAACCTCAGGCTCCGTGCCCCGTGGGGAGTCTGCTTCCCTCTGCCCCTCCCTCTGCCCCTGCCCCTCCCCCTGCTCATGCTTTTTTTTTTTTTTCAAATAAATAAATAAAATCTTAAAAATAAAAAAAAGTCTTGGAGTCTTGCTTCCTCTTTCTCTTTCTGTCAGATCTTCCCTTATCTAAAAATAGTTTGCTCATAGGTACCACCTGCAGCTTTACCCCATTTGGTTTTTCTTCACAGAACTGTTACTTGCTATTACATATTGATTCATTTCGCTTGTCAGTTTATGTTTTCTCCCCTAGCATGTAAGGTCCATGGTGGACTTGAACCTATCTTAATTTGAGTTCTTTTCAGATGTTCTGTTTCTTTTTATCCTTCCTTCAAATTTTATTATTATTAATTTTATTTTAATCAATTTATTTTACTATTGCACATTTCCCTTTACCAATTTAGAGATTTTGCTCTCTGATTCTATTTGTTTTAGATAAAACATGTGCTTAAGTCATCTAAAATCTAAAACAAAATTTTTATCTTTCTCCCGGATAACATAAGGACCTTCGAATGCTTTAACTCCATTAACTCTTTTTTTGACATAGATACAATTATTGTCTAGTATTTTAAGTGTATCTTTTCTTTGAATCTCAATAAACATTATCATTATCACTATTTTTAGAGTCATTTAAAAAAATGTTTACCCAAACTTATATCACTTTCTTTGCTTTTCTTTCCGCATCTCAGATCTCCATCTGGGGATCGCCGTCCTTTTGCCCAAACTTCCTATGGAGAGGTTCTCCAGTAGGTCACTTTCTCAGTTTTTGTCAGTTAGAACAAAACCCTTGAACTCTTCCTCAGGGGTAGTGCATTCTTTGACAATCATGCAGGAATGGAAGAGGTGAGAACATTAAAGGAAAATTACCGTAATTCCCCATAACTGCATAGTTCTGCTGTATCTGAATTCAGAACATTACGCCATGGGCAACAATACTTCATTTATCCTGGCACAGCTCACCTTTACCAGAAATATGTGTAAGCCAAGAAGAGGCAGAAGCCATACTTTGGGTTCCAGTACCAAAATATAGAAGTTCTTTCTTTCAAGCCCAGATTTGTTTACACCGTGGACAAAGCACCAGAGTAAGGCTGAGGAGGGGTGAGACATATACCTATCTTTTATAGAAGGGCAATTGAAATACGGGAGGTGGGGAAGAAGAAGTATACGGGCAGATCAATTTCATTAAAAAACACCACATATGTATGTTAACTATCTGGAAGTTTGTCCTTTGGTCCAGGATACCTCCTAGAATATCTTGTGTTTCCCTAGGAGTTATCTATAGCCCAATTCGAAAACACTAAACTAGCATATAACTTCTGAATCCATAAGAATGTTCCTGCCAGGCTCTTAGGAAGAATACAAAAATTAAATATATGTAGTCTTTCAATTTCATGAGAGCAGTACATGGATCTCAAGCATATAAGTTGCTCAGGAGATCGACATTATGTTGAGATTCAGTTCAGTAAACTGGTTAACAAAATAAGCATTTATTGCTACAAGACTACTTTGGACTAATTCACAAATGGCTGCTGCATGGTACTACAAAAGTTCAAGGGGATCGGAATAGTTAACATACAAACTCAGAACTGCACTTTTCACTAATGCACTGAATGCCCAATCTCTTAACGTAATCATCATGAATAGTCGACTCTGAATTATGCCAGTGTGTGTAGGAGTCCCAGAAGGTGGAATTTCTGTAATTACAACCCAGAGAAGGACTATTGTTATTTCATTTTAAAACATCGCGGAGTTTTTAGGAAGAAAATGAAAGCAGATAGCTTGAGAGCCAGGGTACACATGAATATCACCCAGAAACCTTGGTCAAATGCCCATGTCCAAACCCCACTACAAACTGACTACTCAGAGTCTCCAGGGTGATTCTTGTTGGCCACTTCTGGCTAAGGACGACTGCCTTAGGGGATTTATTTCTAGAGAATATGCTGGGGTCAAGACATGCTAGAAAGAATTCCTTTACATTTAACCAGTATCATGAGCTTCAGCCAAATCCCTGTACTCTGGACTGTTTTGATAGAGATGTCATTACTTTAAATATAGAGGCCTTTGTTCTCAGCAATAAATTTGTAGTATAATTTTACTAAGAATAATTGCAGCCCCGCCTGCCTTCAGAGTATTGCTTGTTTCTTGGATAAACCAAATGGAGACCATTAAAGCAAGTCACAAAATGTGCCCCAACTGTTAAATAGGACTAAAAGGCTGAAACTTACTGTAGTATGTAAAAAATGAAAATTTGAACAATAAGAAACTTGATATATTTGACAGTTTGATTTGCAAGACTAGACAAAGGGGAAAGGGCCAGGGGAAGGGGGATTATATCGACTAAACTAGAAAGCTTTTTAAGGACTAAGTCACCTCTAGACTTCTACTGTCTCTCCCGGCTCACACGACCCCTTTCAAATTATGTCTCCCTCTTTCATCTTTGAAGAGCATCTGATGAGACTGGAAAATTAGCTTTTATCATGTCTTACAATGTAACCACGCCTGCTGACTAGTCCCTGGTTCAGAGATGAATTGTATGATCCACTTGGGCCAGAGTAGCAGAGCTGGTTTCACTCCAGCACACAGACACTTTCTGTCAGCAGGGCAGCATAACTGGCCAATACTGCAAGACTGCAAACTGTCCAGTGTATCCCTTCCATTAGTGATGTTTGGTGATGCAACCCTTGGAAAATTCTGACCAGTGTCTCCAGGAAATTTTTTCAGGTCATCTTCAGCAGTACTCACTAACCTTCCAGTCAAACCTGTGGCAGGTCCAGAGGAGGCACCTCGGATCTCCTGACATGCAGAGGAACTTAGTTGGAAAAAATTGCCGTTTGTAAAGACTGCATAAGTTTTCTACTGCTGCTGTAGCAAATGACCACAGCAAATTACCTTGGTGGCTTAAACAATACAAGTGTATTATCTTATATTTCCTTAAGTCAAAAGACTGCCACGTGTCTCACTGAACTAAAATCAAGGTGTTGGCAAGGCTGCAGTCCTTTCTAGAGTCTCTAAGAGAGAATCCATTTCCTTGGCTTTTCCAGCTTCTGGAGGCTGACCACATTTCCCGATCTCCATCCTTCATCTTGAAAGACAGCAACGGCAGATTGAATCCTTCTTATGCTGCTGTCTCTCTGGTTCTCTGATTACAGCTGGGAAAGATTCTTTGCTTTTAAGGACTCGTGTGATTAGATTGGGCCTACCCAGATCATCCAGAATAATCTGTCTATCTCAAGAGCAGTAATCTTAATCACATCTGCCAAGTCCCCTTTTGCCATATAAGGTAATATATCCTTGGGTTCAGGGCACCTGGGTGGCTCAGTCGGTTGAGCGTCTGCCTTCGGCTCAGGTCATGATCCCAGGGTCCTGGGATGGAGCCCCGCATCGGGCTCCCTGCTCAGTGGGGAGCCTGCTTCTCCCTGTCCTCCTCACTCATTCTCACCATCGCTATCTTTGTCTCTCTCTGTCTCAAAGTAAATAAAATCTTTATATGTCTTTGGGGGTCATTACTATGTCTACCATTAAACACCCAGAACAGATATTTTAAGCAATCAATAAGATTTACCCTTAACTGAGTCAATGGCCCATAAGTCAATTTGGTATAGAAATGTGGTGGAAGAGGTACAAGAAGATATTGAGATCAAGCATTAATCAATTTTACCCCCTTTTAATCATTCTAGGATATATAAAGATCTCTTTGCCTGCTGTCTTTAACAGGAACAACTTGGTAGTCAGAAAAGCATGGGTTTCCTGGGGAAGCTACTAGATCTGGGAACAAAAAGCCTTAAAAAAGCAGGCCTGGTCTGTTCTTGAGTGTTCCTAGGGATGGGTTTATTTTTCCACCTTCCCTGAGAGCACTGGAGCCTTTCCTGGTGGCTCCTAGTTGCTGAGGACCATCTGCCTCCTTCTGCTCCTCTTCCCCAATATGGGCCCCATTTTGGTCAGGCCAGTTTCCTGGTTGAAGCAAATGGGTCCATGGAGCAGGTTTGGAGAACGAATATGGAAAAAGAAGATGATGTTAGGGCCACACTGGACAATTCCAGTGTGAGTGGAAACCCACTGGATGGTTGGTTTGGGGCAAGCGAATGTGTGACAATCATTCTGAGCAGAAAATGAGCCTGAGAGCCTTACTATAGAATTGCAGGTGACTCCGGGAGAAAGGGTGCCTGGTTAAAACAGTACCTCAGACAGTTTTGATCTCTCTATTTCTCAGGTCTTGTTGGTTGCACCTGATTTCCTCCATGACATTAAACAACGGTTGTATGATTTTTCTGTTGGTAGCACACAGTTTTTCCAAATTAAAAAAAAAAAGACAGGAACAAAAAGGTTATGCTTTTCATCTATGTCTGTGTAAACAAACCCAGTAATTACCATAACTCTAATTGCTGCTGAGTGCTCTTGCTACTAAATCTCTGCATATATCCTGGGAAGTTAATCCTGAATTAGGAAACAAAAACTGATTAAAAAAATTTGGGCCAGGTCCATGATTTTTATATTCATAAGATTCAAAATTTCTGTGAGGAAATGTGCAATGCAAATTGAATTATCTTCCAGAGCAATAACAACAACAAAAAAGAAACAATGGTAAAATATGAGTATCCATGCAGAGAGATGTATGAATTAGGCTTGCTAAGGTTTCAGTTGATTGTGATTCAATATTCTGCCCCTCTGAAACAACCTTTACTTACTAGGCTGCACAAACTCAATTCTTTTCAGTCTTCAGTGGATATTATCCAGTTTTCATGTAGCAACGTTTTGTCAAATTTTACACTCTGATCAAAAAGGTTTTTCGCTGAACTTTGAAGGTAGCATTATTGGTCCTTATAAGTGTTTTTAATCACTGTCCTTCCTGATTGCCTTTAGGACAAAAGAGCAGTTGTAAATGTTCAAAGAAAAGTTAGGAAGGCAAAAGAGCATTGCTTTTGTGCCTATAGGCATGGGCTAGGTGAAATTGAATATTAAGGAAATAAGGTAGAAAATCCACGTCTCCACATTTTCTTTCAGGAAATTGGACTAATTGGAATGTTTTTACTACATCTCTTTCTTTTTCCCTCCAGATCCCCTCTGTGCCCCTCTCTGCTCTCTGCCCCAGGAGGCTGAGCTCTTTGGACCTCACCAGTGAGCTCTCTTGTCTTCTGGCTTGTCTTGGGGTTTGACAACAGAGAGCTCCAGCAGGAGGTCAGAAGGAGAGGGGAGGGTAAGTTCTGGGTCCCCTCTGGATGGCCGTGTCCCTCCACTGAAAACCACTGCTCTTGCCAAAGTTGCCCTTTCCTCTAAGCTCTGGAAACTACTTTCTCCCCTTTCCCTTCAGGCCTGGCACTATTACAAGCTTCAGGGTACTACACTCTCCTTTGTAGTTTTGATTTCCCATATCTTGGCCCACACCTTTATAAATACTCCCTTCAGCTGGGAGTCCTACACTGGCCCAGAAGCCCCGTAGCTAGGCTCTAGCATCCCTGGCATGAGCACCTGAGGACTACCTTCTTTGTGGGACCGCACATGTCTACCACCATAGGTTGGCTGACCTGTGTGTATGTGGCCATCAGGATCAGTCCCACCACCCTCCATCCATCACAGGGAAGTCCCCGCCTCCCCTTCCCCCCAAGTGCCTCCATCTCTTCTCTGTGTCACATGCCTCCCCACCTCCCAGTAAAAAAATAGCCCCTTTAGTAAACTCTGCTCAAATTATCCTGATTTGACTGTGCTGTTTCATATTACAACCCTTACAGAGACAGACTCTGGTTTATCCAGTCCTATATTTGAATTCTTCTCACATTCTGGGGCCACCATCATCTCTTACCAGAACTGCTAAGAGATCTCTCTACTTCTACTCTTTATGACTCAAAATCTTCCAAATATAAAATCCAAATTCCCTCCCATGGGCCAAGGCCCTGTACGGTCAGGCTCTTATTCAACTTCATCTTGAATCGTATTCATCTGCTAGGTTCTAGAACACACAGACTTCTCTTTTGCTTGAGACTGTTCTGCCTGGACTGTCTGTTCCCTGCTCTTCATGTGGTTAACACGATCAAAGACAAAAACTGACTAAGGAGATGGATTTTATTCAGTCTTTTGCAATGGGGAAAGCACCCCAGATCCAAAGATTCGAGTGTGTATTAGTTTCTTATGGTTGCTGTAACAACTTACCACAAAATTAGTGACTTAAAATGATAGAAAGTAATTTTCTTATAGTTCTGGAGGCCAGAAGCCCAAAATGAGTCTTAATAGCTAAAAGTGAGGTGTGGGCACAGCTGTGTTGCCTCTGGAGAGACTAGAGGAGAATTTGTTTCCTTGCTTTTTCCCACATCTAGGGCTGAATTTCTTGGCTCATGGTCTGTTCCTCTATTTTCATAACCAGTGGTTATAGCATCTTCTCTCTGACTCTGATTCTCTCTGCTTCTATCACACAGCCACCTTCTGTCTATGGTCAAGTCTCTTGTATTCCTCTAACAGGGACATTTGTGATTATACATAGGGTTGATCCAGATAATCCGGGATAATTGCTCCATCTCAGGCTCCTTAATCACATCTTCAAGCACCCCTTTTTCATATACAGTAACTTTTATAGATTTTAGGGATTAAGACCTAGATATCTCTTAGGGGTCATTATTAGCCTACCCTACTGTATCCTAGTACAGTGGTTGTGCCTTAGATCTTTATAAGGAGTTGAAATGGGGAAATGTTTATTTCTGTGTCTAGCTAGTTTTAGGGGAACAAACAATTCTAATGTCAGCTAATTATTCAGAAGCCAAAGAATAAAGAGAGTCTGTGTCTGACTTTGTCAGCAGATGTAGGCAAAAGAGGAATGGTTTAGGTTTGCTCTTGTCAGAGGTAAACATGGTAGTCATCTATAAGTCTTTGGGGACTTATGAGAAAGGGTAGACACCAAGTCTTATCTAAGCTACATGGGGAATGGTAGTTCATTGCAGTGAGCCATTTTCTAGAATACAAAAGGGTGGGAGATTTGAGGGCAGGGAGAAAAGGTTGGGGAGATTTCTTAACCACCACTGTCTTCCAGGAGCACAGAGTTCAGGTGATGTTCAACATTGTCAGCACCTTCTCATTCTTAAATATTTTTTCATAGATGTTCTCCCTGACCACTCTAAGTACTGCCTTTCCATTATTCTCTGTTACAGTTTCTTCTTTCTTTCTTTCTGGTATTTTCCATAATCCATAATTATTTTGTGTATTTATTTGCTTATCTATCAAGACCATAAACTCCTTGAGGACAGGGAACATGGTTGTCTTACATTTGAAGAGCTTAGGACAATGTATCTTTATAGCTTTAGAACATGTTTGTTGAATTGACCAAAGAAGAAATACCAGATGGCCAATAAACTCAGGAAAAACTGTCTAGTAATTACCTCCTTGGTAGTTAAAAAAACCAAAAACAAAAACAAAAAATAACAACAAAAGAAAAAACAAACAAGGATGAAAATAACAAGAGAGTCAGAAATCCCAGGCAGGAGGACCCACATGTTCAGAGATACACAGAGGTGTGTGTGAAATGTGAGTCACAGCTGGTGTGGGATGGGGTCTGAGTGGGGTGGGGTGAGGCTCCACAGTGAGTCAGAGATCAGACCCCAAGGGAGCTTGGGATTTATACTTCCTTTTCTCCTCAGTGCCCTGCATCCACTCATCCTTTTAATAAATATTTGTTGAATGTGTTTCATGTGCATGGCACTGGTCTAGACTTTGGGGACACAGCAGGGAACAGAACAGACAAAAATAAGTCTGACAGTAAGTGGAAGTGATTGAAATAAACAGTTCTGAGCGTTACGGAGAAAAGTAAAGAAGGAGAGTAAGATGTGGAATGTAGGCTTGTGATTTATAGAGTGGCCAGGAAGGGCCTCAGTGAGAATAAACCATTTGCCATGTGTGGAGTTGGGGGGCAGGGGGCCCTTAACCACACTTAAAGGAAGTGATATCCTGGAGAAGGGCATTCCAGGCAAGGGGCACAGCAAACACTCAGATCCTAAGGTGTAAACTCACCTGTAAGATGGCTGGTGTGGTCCGAAGAGAGTGACAGAGTGTCTTACAGTTTTAGGAGATGAGATCACAGGAGTGGAGAGCGGGGTGCACTTGTAGGGCCTGGTAAGCTTCTGTAAGGACTGTGGCTTTTCCACTGAGTGAAGTGGGAAGCCACTGGAAGATTTTGATAAGAGGAGTGACATACTCTCTTTCATTTAACAGGATCACTTGGGCTGCTATGTGGAATGGGACAAAAAAGGATCAAGGCCTGATGCAGGAAGACCCTTTAGGAGGCTGCTCAGTGATCCAGGGGAGAAATGACAGTGGTAGCACGGATCAGGGAGGTCACAGTGATGACAGTGAGAAGTCACTAGATTCTGGATATATTCTGAAACTGAGTCAGATGTGAGGTGAGAGAGAGAGAGGTCAAGGGTGACTCCAAGATTCACGGCAAGGATGGGGTTGCCATTTACTGAGATCTGGAAGATGGCTAAATGAGCAGCTTTGAGAAGGAAGGTCAAGAGCTCAGTTTGGGACGGATTAAATCCAAAGTGCACAAGTAATACTTTTTCAAAAGAGAATTAATTTTGTAAATGTACCTGTGAGCATTAGGAAATCACAGAACTGGCAATCATGTCTCTCCAATGCGCTGATTGCTTTAGTGGCTGGCTAGCTTCATACCTTTCGAGACCTGTCATTGCTTTCTTCCCTAACTTCCCACCTCCCCTGAGAATGTTTCCACCTCTCCTTTGTTGGGAGACAAGTACAATAGGAAAATTAGAAAATCCAAGTATTTAATTGCTCTGGAAATAGTAACAGCAAAGTCCATCTGTTGAAATAACTCCTTTTTCTGACCTCTTGGGTATCCAGAAGAGCCATTCAGAAGCTCAGGAAAGCCACCAGCTTTGGGGAAGGGGCTGCATCAGAACAGAGGCCCATGCTTTGGCCCCCAGAGCTCTGCATCTGGGTCCACAGCCTGGCATGTCTTTCTCCAATAAGTCAAGTGCTTAGCTTTGGCCCCAAACAGCCCTCTGCTGAGAGGTCTTCCAGGCTGAGAAAGCAAGCAAAGGCTCTTTCCTCCAGATGTCTTTGCTCTCACCTTCTCTGAAGCAATGACATTCATAACCTGGATCTTGGCCTCAACTTCTAAGTTCCTTCCACATTCCTCATCTTGAACTATCCAACCTGAAAATACACTCTTTTAGTCCTTATTCAAGAGTGTCATGCATTCTGCTTCACTGCAGTCGTTCCATGTAAATTAATTTTCCAGATAACTGAAGCTGAGCCATCCCTTGACATCAACTATATGAAGGAGAATTTTCCCAAGGATGAACTGCACCTATTCTTGCTGCCTTAACCAGAATACATGGAACAAAATCAAACTTTTCTGCCATAAGGCTGTCTGTCCTCTCACAAGTGACGATGTCCTCAGGCTCTCATGAGGTATGGAGAGTCTGTGTCTGCTACACTTAATGACCTCAGACGGACATGTTTTTGAGGTGTGTATTTCTTCTTAAAAAAGTGTTTTTAATGTTTTGCTGCATTATCCCTGTTGACATTTGTTGTTGAGTGGCTGCTCATTTAACGTGCTGGAAAATACTGAAAAGCCATGTAATCAGAACTGTGCATGAATATTCTGTCCAAGAAGCTTGATTTAGTGCTAGAGGATCTCTGAGGTCTTTTTCAGCTTTAATTTATTTTTATGGTTCTAAATTTCCTGAGAAATGAGCATAATTCATTATGCATAGATTGTGGGCTTTTACTTAGATACAACTCAGGGCATTTTTAACTTATTATCTAATTGCCAGCTCAGCTCTTAGTGGCTGATACATGAATCTTCAGAAATGTGAGATAACATTTGTGATAGAATTCTAAGATGGCCCCTTCATGGTTGCCCTGTGTCAGTTCCTTCTCTTGAGTTTGGGCAAGACCTATGAGTCTGATGAGACAGCACTCCAGTGATTAGGTTACCTTATATGTTTGGCAAAGGTGAAGGGATTTTTTTTTTTTAAAGGTGAAGGGATTTTGAATATGTAATTAAAAATTTTAATCACCCAGCTTTAATTTAATCAAAAGGGAAATTGACCCAGGTGGGTCTGGCTTAATGAGGTGAACCCTTTAAAAAAGGGTCTGGAAGGAAGAGGTTTTCTCCCCTGCCAGACTTGAAGAAGCTAGCTGCCATGAGTTCTACAGTTGCAAGGAAATTTAGCCAACAACCATGTGAATTTGAAAGACGTTAAACCTCGGATGAGACCATGGCCCCCATCAACACCTTGACTGCAGTTTTGGAAACCCTGAGCAGAGGACTCAGTTAAGCTAGGTCTGTACTCTCCACCCACGGGAGCTGTGAGATAATAACTGGGTATTTTTTTAACCTGATAAATTTGTGATAGTTTATTATGGAGGAACAGAAAATTAAGACAGCATCCCAGTTGGATTTTGTGTTTAAAAAGGTAAAAGAGCATACTACACTTGCCATGCATGGGTTCATACAAACTTAATCACATTATTATAATGACCTCATCCTCCTATGGATAATATCAATTCTGAGTTTTATTCAGACCATGAAATAAAACCCAAGGATTTATTAAGATTATACTTGTCTTCTCCTGAGCTTCAGTAAATAAAATGTGCAGGGTTGTAGTGAGTAGTAAGTCCAATCCAACCTTTCTCTATCACTGTTTTTGCCCAGGAGAGAATCATAAGTTTTTTTTAAAAAAAGATCTCACATTAAAAAAAAACTAAACTAAACTTAGTGGGTAGGAGGTGGGATCAAAAATTTTTTACAGGGATGCTTTTGTTGCTTACTTATTTTATAGATAAGTGCAACAGAATTTAATGATGCTGGCATTTTTCTGTGCTTTATAAAACTTTTTAAAGCTTGTTACATATGAGCCTCATGATATATGTCACTTCCACATGAGTTAATTAAATACAACCTGGCAGGCAAGTAGTTATTTATGGATTTCATTTTTTAAATTTTAATTCCAATACAGTTAACATACAGTGTTATATTAGTTTTAGATCTACAGGATAATGACTCAACAATTCCATACATTATGGATTTCATTTTTAAAATATTATTTTTGAGTAGTCGTTATGACAGAGTACAAATTAGATCTCTCTCTCACAGACCTGTCCTTCATTCATCTTGTTTTCTTCTTTAGAGTCGGCTCTTACCGGTTATCTGAGCATTCTTCTAGAGGAATTCGATGCAATAACAATTAAATATTCAAATAATTACGCATAAATGTAGCTAATGCTCACAAAGTGTGATTAATTAACTGGTTTTCTGACAATAAGGTTTATCTGTATTCCTGATTATGGCAAATTATTACTTGAATATATTGATAAAAGTGAGTTGTTAGTATTTTATTTGGGATTTTTTCCATGCTTATTCATACAAGAAAGCTATTTATCCTTTCTAGTTTTTATGGTCTGTCATTTTTTGGTATTGAGTTCATGAGAGTTTCCCAGACTAACTGAAGAAGAGAAAGACTTTTATCTTGCTCCACTCAGCAACAGCTTAAATAGGATTGTAATTATCTTTTCTTTGAAAGTTTAAACAGTGTCATCTAGGAAAAAAATCCTTTGGCTTGATACCTTTCTGCAGCTAATTATTTGACAATCTTTGAGTTTTATTCCAAAGTATTAGATTTTGTCAGGTATTTTGTCTTCTTCTGTTAATTCTAGTAAAAAATGTAAATTTTACTGGAAATTGATATATTTCACTGAATTAAAAAATTTACCTGGCTAGAGTTTTAAAGAGCCATTCTTCTTCAAAGCTGTACCAATAGTCTCTTGCCCATTTGTAAATTTGAATGTATTTTTATCTTTTATGCTTCGATGTTCCTTTTTTGTTTTAGCAGTAATAGCAACGAGCAGCACTCGAGTTTCTCAGCTGTACTGTTTTTGTCTTTTCTGAAAATAATAATGTCTAACACTTAGTGAAGTATTTACCACCAAGTGCTCAGCTATTAATACACATGATCTCATTTCTTTGCAACAACCCTCAAGGGTAGATTTTTTAATAATCCTCAAGTTACATATGAGAAAATGGATTCTTCAGAAGGCTAGGTAGTTATCCTTCCACCACTAAGTAGGGAAACTGAGACTCAGCTCCTCTCTCTCTGACTCCAGACCTGGAGCTTTTGATTTTACTTCCCTGCTTTTCTTCCTTAGTTTTTTCTTCATGCCTTCCTGTAGTTACTTGGCACAACTTCTGACTTCATGAGTTGAATGTTAACTCTCATTTTTTCTTATGTATGAATGAATCTATTTATAGGTATAAATCTACCTTCGAGTCCCACTTTCTCAGCATACATTTTGTTATGTGTAATTATCATGTTTTTTGCTAAATATTCTAAAATTGCATTATTTCTTTTTTTGAATTGAATTTAGAAGAATTTTCTTTTCCCAGTGAGTAAGGTTTTTGATGTTGCTGTTTACATATTTGTAAGTAATGTTAGTTGGATTGTGATAAAAATATATTTCCTATTTCCACATTTGGCATTTACTGAGGTATCTAACATATAATTTGTTTTTATAAACATCCTCTAGATTTCTAAAAGGCAGTGTATTCTCTGTGCATAAGCACTATCGCACCTATTAAATCCATTTTTAAATGTAGTTTGAATTCTCTTATGTTGGTCTGTCAAAGGTTGTGATATAGGTGAGCTGTTTCTCAAGAAAATTGACTTTCTGTAACTCTCTTTTTGTTTCCAACAATTCTTATATTATTTGTCAATGTTATGCTATTTATTTACATAAAGCTCCATTATTAATATAACTATCGTGCGGCGACATATTTTTTGGAAATGTAAAATGATATTCTCTTTTTCTTCCTAATTCTTTTAGTCTTAAATTTTGAATAATATTGCCAACTCCACTTTTTTGTTTGAATGTTTCTGTATATTTTTGTTTATTCTTTTGTTTTTAGCCTCTTTGATACATAATTTAGAATATGATGCTGGCAGATTGAATAGAGTTTGATTTTATTTTTCATTAAGTTTGAGAATCTTAAGAAAGATAAACACATTTATAGTTTCCGTTTATTTTTTGTATGTGTGATCTTCTAGTGTATGATCCTATGACATGATTTCCCTTTTCTAATGAGAATTTTGACTTTTCTCTTGTAGATTTTTCCCCAGTTTTTGTGTTCTTTGTGTATTAAAATTTACACACAATGTTTTAAATTCCATTAGAAGACACATTGATTTTTTTAAATCAAACTTAGACTTAGAGTTATCCAAAATATTAATGCCAATAACAAAATAGTGTCTCTTGGTTTTCCCTTGTAAGACACTGCATCGCCAGCTCTCCTGGTGGCACGGAAGTCCTGTGATGTGGGAAAATGGGGACATCAGCTCTGAGTGGAAAGATGAAGAGAAGAGTAGGACCCTGAAGTGGAACCGAATTTATTTTACTTCTATTTCCCTTTTTTTAATATGCATAAGAATGGTATATGACTTAAAATTCTATGCTTATATAAGCCTTAAGAAGGTATCTCAAGGAGTGCCTGGATGGCTCAGTTGGTTAAGATCTGCCTTCAGCTCAGGTCAGGATCTCAGAGTCCTGGGATCTGGCCCCATGTCAGGCTTCCTCCTCAGCGGGGAGTCTGCTTCTCCCTCTGCCCCTCCCCCCCCCCGCTCATGCTTGTGTGCTCTCTCTCTCTCTCTCTCAAATAAATCAATAAAATCTTTAAAAAGATGCTTTAAAAAAGGTATCTCAATTAATATAACAAAAATATCAAGTGATTGAATACCACGTCATAGTTTAAATGGCAGAGATTTTTCTTCTTAGGGGGACCTAAAATAATAGTGTGTTTAGGATGGTGTCATAGATGAGAAGAAATCTTACATTTGAAACACCTTTTTTTGAAAAGGTGTTTTTTGAAAACACCTTTTTCTGCACAAAAAAGGAAGGCTGAGATCATTGTTTCAACATCAGAAATCCTAAAAGAGGTAAGTAAGATGGGCCACGCCTCACTCTGCCTCACTGTGGAGAGGAGGTTGCACCTGGTGACCAGGGCTCCTGGGGTGTGGGAGAGCTGGGGGGTCTTCAAAAGCCCCTGGGGCTGAAGCAAGGGGCTGACTTCTGGGCTGTTACTGCAACTGATGGGGGTATCATGATCTGTCAGCAGTTGGGACAGAGTAGCACTAAAGTGAGTCACACCCAAAGAGAAAATTCTCCTCTTCTCCTCCTGTGGAACCCAGACAGATCTCATCCTTATGTCAGCGTGTCCCTAAATCTCTGCGGAGGAAAGCATTAGAAATACATATCTGGGTGACCCGGGCACCAATATCGTCAGTAAGGACGCCAGGGGCACTGAGTCTTTTATTTTATTATTATTTTTTTAATATTTTATTTATTTATTTGACAGAGAGAGACACAGCGAGAGAAGGAACACAAGCAGGGGGAGCGGGTGAGGGAGAAGCAGGCTTCCCACCAAGCAGAGAGCCTGATGCGGGGCTCGATCCCAGGACGCTGGGATCATGACCTGAGCCGAAGGCAGACGCTTAACGACTGAGTCACCCAGGCGCCCCGCACTGAGTCTTTTAAACCATACTCATGACAAGCAGATGTGGCAGGACTTGTGCTGCACACAGGGACCTCTACCACACTACTTGGTTATGGTGACAACCTTCTTATTTCATCTGAGCCAGAGGCCTACTTGATAGCACCATACAGTTGCCAGGTTAGTAACCCAGCAGCCTGAGAACAGAGACCAGAGAACAGAGACCAAGGGCTAGGATTGTCCATCTCTGTGAATTTTCTTCTTTGCATTAGGAGAAGTTGTGGACTGAAAGTTGATTTTCCTCTTTGGCTCAGCCTCTATGGCAAGAGCATATATTTCTGGTAGGTTTCAAGGGCATTCATGAGATGCCCCATGGCAACAGCCATATCTGCTTCAAGTGCATGGGGGGGGGTCCTCTCTGAGTAGTCTTTTCTGAATACTCTCTCTATCCAGCAAAACAGATCCCACGCGGTGCTGTTCTCTGTCCTACCTCCAGCTTCTCATCTCCAGATGCAAACTGTGGGAGGGGGTTAGTGGAAATCTTTCAGGGTCTCCTGGTGATTTTTTTCCTCTGGAGTATTGGTTGCAACCTGACCCCTGATAGCTTCCTTTAATCTGGTCCCAGGCAAACTATAGCTTGACTGTTTTTTTAAAAGTGTTAACATATGGATGGCATCCTTCCTTAGTTTCCTACTGTGATGCAGATCTTTCCTACTTTTATGTTTCTTTGGTCATTTCAGGGGGGAGCTGAGTGAGAGACAATGGAGCAAGACTTTGCTCTAGTTGTGTGTTTTGGGTGTGTGTTTGTTTTTTTTCTTTTTGAACAGAAGTCTGGTCTTCCTGCATCTGTAGGACTTACAAAGAGAAACACTGTGAACATAGTAGTTGACTATTTGGCTCTGAGACTTTGGGGAGATGTGGGTGAGAAATATAAATTTGAGGGACATCAGCCTGTGGTGGCAGTCAGGTCACAGGAATGGCAGGGACTGCCTGGAGCTGCTTCCAAAGTCTTGAAGGTCACTGGTCCCTCTCTAAGATACTAATTTAGCAGGACTATGGGTCCCAAGAATCTACAACTTTTTATTTTATTTTATTATGTTATGTTTAAACTTCCAAATAAAGATTTCTAGAATTGGGTATTAAGAGATGAAGTTATAAGACAATGCTCCCAGGATGGTCCTATTTAGATAAGAAGGGTTTATGCCTGTTGCACGTAGATAGGCTGTAGGGATGGTGGCAAGGTTCTCAACTGAAAAAGTGACGAAGATTTTGAGAAGTCAATGTGAGGAAGAAGCAGGGATGCTGATGGGAACGTCAACAAAGCGAGAGGGCAGAGAAAGCTTGACACCAATGCACGTGATCATGCAACTTTTTCCATCCTGCTCTGAACGCTGAGGGTAGACGTGGAGGTGATGAGTGGTTGGCTTAGCTGAGTTGGGTGAAGAAGGGGACAAGGGCAGGACACCAAGGGCTACAAGAATCTGCTGGTGTCTGACCACAGCCTCCATCCATTCAATTTCCTGTGACCATAACCTGTTCCCAGTACAGCTCCTCTGGACCTCAAAGCCACCAGTCCCTATTGCCACCCGTCCCTCCTCTCTGGGGCCATGTACCGCTCTTTCGTTAACCCGGAACCCAGGGACATACATCACTTCAGTCACTCTCTTGCCATTAGCCCTCAGGAAATTAAGTAACTAGTTTAAGGTCAAACCACTAATAAAGGGTGAGACTAAAATTTGAACTCAGGCCAGCCCAAGTTTTTTGTTTTCTGTGTGTGTTTTGTCTTGTTTTGTTTTAGACCACTACTTTATATGACTGCTGTGGCAGGCACGGTGATGTTGCATCAGACCCTGTTTAACGAAGGACTCATTGTCCCAGCAGCCGGGAGTGCAATCAGCAGATGGACTTCAGCTCTCAGGCCGCTCAGGGATGCCTCAGCTGCAGAGAACTGCCTCACCCCAGGGCACATCCCTTTCTGGGCAGCACACATCTAGTGAGGGATCGATGCAGGAGTATAGAGGCCTGGCCTTCTCAGCCCGGCTTGGGACTATTCTGAAGGAACTTTCTGTCTCCAGAGCTCCCTGTGGGGTCAGCAGAGCCTGTCCTTGGGCCCACATCACAGCTTACCTTTTCTTTCTCCCTTCCTGCTTCCTTCATTTCCCTCCCCTCCACAGGTGTTGATCCCAAAGGCCCTCCTTAGTAAACCTGCTTTATGTTAAATGCTCTTTCAGAGTCTGTTTCCCAGGGAACCCAGTGTGCGACCGCCTTTCCAGGATACAAGAGCCAGACTTTCCTATCACAGAAGTCCTATGACTTCTCACCTTTCCTGGAGACCCTCTGAAGTATTTCCAAGAATTGTCAGGTCTAGATGAAGCTGAATGTTCCTTCCCCTGGTCACTGGGACCACGTCTCATCTAGTCTTCAGATTTCAGGTATATAGGGCTCAAGAGAGATGGTTTAAATCTGGGGCTCACTGAGGCACATGGCCCTGGATTTGGAGAGTGGCTAGCCTGCTGCTTAAGGTTTGTTGACTGTTTCCCTTTCCTTCCCCGTCATCCTCTGGGCTCGGAATTCTGAATCTTGATTCCCAGTTTTAGACAAGCGTCAGACGAGACAACTGATTGAATTTTTAAGTTCACATCTGATATGCCATTGCACGGTGATCTTAGTAACTTAAAAGCAAAAACATGACCTGGGCTGAAGCAAACAAATTTCAGTGTTTTTATTTCAGGTTCATTGTTTACCTTGTATTTTATCAGTTAGAATAAACAGTCAAAACATGTTAAGAAAAAAAAAATCAAGTCATTCATCAAAAGAAATTTGTTGGTTTTTCAATGTGATTAAGTATTATAGGAATATTAAAATGAAAAAATCAATACTTGTATGTTGTATACAACACACAATTTTGTAGTTTTGTCAGTTTCTCCACTTCACATTTTAATTATTCCTTTCAATCCATACAATCAGTATATAGAGTAAGTATATGATTCAGGATATATTTCTTTATAATGGCTTGAAAATTTGTGGCATTTGGTTTTCAATTAGACATCTACGAAGATCTCATCTGTGCTAAACACTTTATTAGAAACAAATATGCAAAGTAATCCTATGGAGATTTCAAAATATTTAGCAGGCAAAACAAAGTTTATATATTGAAAATGGACTCTTGTTCGTCTAATTGGAATATTGCCTTCTAATCCAGCTGACATACTCTACAGTCAGCAACAAATTGAAGCTGTGTGTTATCAATGATCGCTCAGATCACCCTAAGTATATACGCTGCATTACATTAAATAACCTTATTTAGGTAATTGCTTTAAACATTTTGTAGACTCAAGTACTTCTTAAAGTTTTCAGTTATTGATTTTCAAATCTTCTTTGTAGGTATAAGCCTCTCAGAAGGCCAAACGTAAACACGGTTCCTGCCCAGCTGGTCTTCTCCTTTGATAACCACCCATCGTTCTCTACTAGCCTGTCGATAAGCATTTAATGAGGACCTGCTGTGGGGCTGAGGCCTCCTCCGCAGCCTAGCAGCGAACACAAGATTAGGTTTGCCTGGAGAAGTTTACAGTCAAGTTCATGGTTTTCAGGAGCATAAGCCAGCATGGTTTCCTTAATTTCCTTGTCTATCACAACAACAGCAACATTAAAGATGTTTTTCTAGGGGTGGCATTGTCTTAAGCTGATAGAAAAAAAAATAGCCCCCAAAACTAATAAAAAAAAATAATGACATAGTTTATATGGAATCCTATATGATTGTCTCAGAGGTTTGCATATCCATAGATCAGATTTACAACATAAAGCACTAGGACATATTTCTTAATTATTCATACATTAAGTTAAGATGTGTTCTAATCTTTCATGTATTAAGAGTAAAACGTCAGGACATTTTTGTGGTTTCCTCTAACTAGTAAAACAGGAGGGAGGTTCTTCGTGAGGATTTCCAACCAAGCCATGTACAACCAATCTGATATAGATCCTTTCCTTGCCACTGGAAGGCTCCTGACAGTATGGAAGAAAAATTTTAGAAGTGACAATTACTACAGGCAGTAACATCAATAGTCATCTGAGCTATTTAATAATCAGGGGCCTGAAACTTTTGTAACCCTCCCCCAAACATGAAAGCACCGAAATTATTTTGAATATAGATATTAAACTGATGTATTTCTCAGATAAGACAAATTATCTGTAGCCAGAAAAAGAGGCTTAGGCATTGTAGAGCAGCAACAAAAAAGAACTATAAATTTTCACTCCTCTTTAAAAGGAAACTTGATCAACCAATATACTCCTTTTTTGATGTTAATGATTTTCCCTATAGTTTAAAGCTCTTATATTTGGCAGAAACCTCAGAAAACAGGTAGGTGAAAACTCCTACCCAATTCGGGAGACTGTTCTAGGTCTCAGGTGGGTAATCCTCCAGTGTAGACCTTGAAGACATATTACTCTTCATATATAGGAATCAGGTTATGAGGTATAAATGTGAAATAATTGTTTTTCATGTTTAGCTCTCAATCCTTAAGTAAACATTCCTATTTCCAACATGTACACCTCTAACATTTGTGGGGTGAAGGGCAAGAGTAGAAATGGAAGAATGCCCTCCCTTTTTCTCCTACCTTGGCCTCCTTTAACATAGCAAGGAGCCTCCTGAACATGCTGTGGACTCTCTCCCTCAGGAGCACTACGCAGGGAAGGAGCCCATGAGCCTCAGTGGCTGATTTGAGGCTTGTTAGGCAGGGGGTTCCAGGGGCAGGTTCCTGGAGCATGGTCTGAAAGAGGGGAGCCAAGGTTCTACGGGTGGGGCACGCCAGACAGAAAGTCCAAGTGGCAGGGTCCCAGGGTGGCATTTATTTTCCTTCACTGTCAAAAATCCTACATGTTCCAATTTTTTAAAACTTTCCACATGAATAGTCATGACTTTTTAAGTCGATTAACCCATTTACCTAAGATTCCTCTGTAACATCCTTAAAAGTCTGCAGGGATACTTACAGGACAATGAGGTTAGCAGCTCTCGAGTGCTCCTGTAAGAGTTCATTCAGTCGAACTTGGCGGTAACTCTGTGGACAACATTGATTTTGTTGAGGGCAGTTCTACCAGAATTAGGAATGAGAATCTATCTCCTTACCTCAAATTATGGAGAAGTAGAAAAACCTCACTTAAAAAAATTACAATTAGGGGGTGGAGCAAGATGGCGGAGGAGTAGGAGACCTAGATTTCGTCTGGTCTCAGGAATTCAGCTGAATAGGCATCAAACCATTCTGAACACCTATGAACTCAACAGGAGATCGAAGAAGAGAGTAGCAACAACTCTCTGAACAGAGAAGCAGCCACTTACTGGAAGGTAGGACGTGCGGAGAAGTGAATCCGAGGCGATATTCGGGAGGATAGACGGCGGGGCGGGGGGGGCCTCCGTCGGCCGCTTCTGGCAAGTGATAGAGCCGCGGAGCACAAAATCGGACCTGTTAGAAGTTGGCTCCGCTGAGGGATGTCACTCCAGTGGCTAAGCGGGAGGTGGAAACCTCGTGGGACAGTGTGGACTCAGGACCCTCGGGGTCACAGAAAGACCGGGGGTGCCTGAGTGCGGCAGAGCTCCCAGGTATCGGAGCGGGGAAGCCGGCTGCAGAGACGGAGCCGAGACGCGGGCTCGCAGCTCGGGGTTGCCATAAACTGTGATCCGCGGCCCATTTGGGCCACTGCACCTCCAGCAGGGACCCAACAAGCAGCAGAGCTGGGGAGACTCCCCACCCTCCCCCGGGAGGAGCGGCACGGAAGTTCACAGCAGGGATCTGCTGGGTTTGGAGACTCCACACGAGTCGGGTGCCAGAGATAGAAACGCTCGGTCACAGGCCGGGTGAGTGCGGAGTGCGGCCGGAGACTGGGGAGACGGGAGTGATTGACTGCTTTTCTCTGGGGGCGCACTGAGGAGTGGGGCCCCGAGTTCTCAGCTCCTCCGGGCAGAGAGTGGGAGGCCACCATTTTCACCCCGGTCCTCCAAAGCTGTACTGAGAGCTTGCAGGGAACAAAAGCTCCTGAGAGCAAACCCGAGCAGCTTGCTTAGCCTGGACCGACAAGGGCGGGGCAATTCTGCCTCCAGCAAAGACATTTGGGAACCACGGCAACAGGCCCCTCCCCCAGAAGATCAGCAGGAACAGCCAGCAAGCCAAGACCAAGTTTACTGATCAAGGAGAACGGGAGAACTCCAGCGCTAGGGGAATACTGAACATAGAATTCATGGCTTTTTTACCATGATTCATTAGTTTTTCAGAGTTAATTTTTTTAACTGTTTTTTGTTTTTTTTTTTGAATTTTTCTTTTTCCCTTTTTCAACCAACTTCTTATCAATCCCTTTTTTTAAAAAACATTTTTTATTTTTCATTTTATTTTATCCATTCATAGTAGTTACCCTTATTTTTGGCATATATATATGTTCTTCTCTCCTTAAAATTTTGATATACAGTTTCTTCTAACAGATCAAAATATACCCTAAATCACTAGTGTATGGCTTTGTTCTAGTCTCCTGCCTGATCACAGTCTCTCCCATTTTTTTTTCTTTTCTTTTTTCTTTTTTTAAATCTTCTTCTTTCTTCCTTCAAACAACTTATCAATTCCGTTTATAAGTTTTTTAAGTTTCAGCTTTACAGTCATCTTCCATCCCTTCATTGTATCAACCCTTATTTTGTACATATATAAGTCTTTCTTCCTTTAAAATTTTAGGAGGCACTTTCTTCTAACAGACCAAAATACACCCCAAATCTAGTGTGTGGCACTGATGTATGCACTAGCCTGAACATATTTGATCATATTCTGTTTTTTTTTGTTTTGTTCTGTTTTTGTTTGTTTTTATCTTTTTTTTCCTCTTTCTTTTTTCTTTCTTTCCCTTTCTTTTCCCCTGGTTTCAGGTCTTTTCTGATTTGTATAGAGTATATTTGCTGGGGACGTTGTTAACCTGTTAGCATTTTGTTCTCTCATTTATCTGTTCTCCTCTGGACAAAATGACAAGACGAAAAAAATCACCTCAGCAAAAAGAACAAGAAGTAGTACCGTCTGCCAGGGACCTACTCAATACTGACATTAGTACGATGTCGGACCTAGAGTTCAGAATCATGACTTTAAAGATACTAGCTGGGCTTGAAAAAAGCGTGGAAGTTATTAGAGAAACCCTTTCTGGAGAAATAAAAGAACTAAAATCTAACCAAATCGAAATCAAAAAGGCTATTGATGAGGTGCAATCAAAAATGGGGGCACTAACTGCTAGGATAAATGAGGCAGAAGAGAGAATCAGCGATATAGAAGACCAAATGATGGAAAATAAAGAGGCTGAGAAAAAGAGAGATAAACAACGACAGGATCACGAGGGCAGAATTCGACAGCTAAGCGATACGATAAGATGAAACAACATTAGAATAATTGGGATTCCAGAAGAAGAAGAAAGACAGAGAGGGGCAGAAGGTATATTGGAGCAAATTATAGCAGAGAACTTCCCTAATGTGGGGAAGGAAACAGGCATCAAAATCCAGGAGGCACAGAGAACCCCTCTCAAAATCAATAAAAATAGGTCAACACCCCGACATCTAATAGTAAAAGTTATGAGTCTCAGAGACAAAGAGAAAATCCTGAAAGCAGCTCGGGAGAAGAGATATGTAACCTACAATGGTAGAAACATTAGATTGGCAACAGACCTATCCACAGAGACCTGGCAGGCCAGAAAGGACTGGCATGATATCTTTAGAGCACTAAACGAGAAAAATATGCAGCCAAGAATACTATATCCAGCAAGGCTCTCATTGAAAATAGAAGGAGAGCTAAAAAGCTTCCAGGACAAACAAAAACTAAAGGAATTTGCAAACACAAAACCAGCCCTGAAAGAAATATTGAAAGGGGACCTCTAAGGAAAGAGAGAGCCTAAAAGCAGCATAGATCAGAAAGGAACACAGACAATATACAGTCACAGTCACCTTACAGGCAATACAATGGCACTAAATTCCTATCTTTCAATAGTTACCCTGAATGTAAATGGGCTCAATGCCCCAATCAAAAGACATAGGCTATCAGATTGGATTAAAAAACAAGAGCCATCCATATGCTGTCTGCAAGAGACTCATTTTAGACCCAAAGACACCCCCAGATTGAAAGTGAGGGGGTGGAAAACCATTTCCCATGTTAATGGACACCAAAAGAAAGCTGGGGTGGCAATTCTTATATCAGACAAATTAGATTTTAAAACAAAGACTGTAATAAGAGATGAAGAAGGACACCATATCTTACTTAAAGGGTCTATCCAACAAGAAGATCTAACAATTGTAAATATCTATGCCCCTAACATGGGAGCAGCCACTTTTATGAGGCAATTAATAACAAAAGCAAAGAAACACATTGACAACAATACAATAATAGGGGGGGACTTTAACACCCCCCTGACTGAAATGGACAGATCCTCTAAGCAAAAGATCAACAAGGAAATAAAGATTTTAAATGAAACACTAGACCAAATGGACTTCACAGACATATTCAGAACATTCCATCCCAAAGCAACGGAATACACATTCTTCTCTAGTGCCCATGGAACATTCTCCAGAGTTGATCACATCCTAGGTCACAAATCAGGTCTCAACCAATACCAAAAGATTGGGATTATACCCTGCATATTTTCAGACTACAGTGCTTTGAAACTAGAATTCAGTCACAAGAGGAAAGTCAGAGAGAACTCAAATACATGGAGGCTAAAGAGCATCCTACTGAAGAATGAATGGGTCAACCAGGAAATTCAAGAAGAATTAAAAAAATTCATGGAAACCAATGAAAATGAAAACACAACTGATCAAAATCTTTGGGATACAGCAAAGGCAGTCCTGAGAGGAAAGTATATAGCAATACAAGCCTTTCTTAAGAAACAAGAAAAGTCTCAAATACACAACCTAACCCTACACCTACAGGAGCTAGAGAAAGAACAGCAAATAAAGCCTAAACGCAGCAGGAGAAGAGAAATCATAAAGATCAGAGCAGAAATCAATGAACTAGAAACCAAAAGAACAGTAGAACAGATCAACAAAACTAGGAGCTGGTTCTTTGAAAGAATTAACAAGATTGATAAACCTCTGGCTAGACTTATCAAAAAGAAAAGAGAAAGGACCCAAATCAACAAAATCATGAAAGAAAGAGAAGAGATCACAACCAACACCAAAGAAATACAAACAATTATAAGAACATATTATGAGCAACTCTATGCCAGCAAATTAGATAACCTGGAAGAAATGGATGCATTCCTAGAGATGTATCAACTACCAAAATTGAACCAGGAAGAAATAGAAAACCTGGACAGACCTATAACCACTAGGGAAATGGAAGCAGTCGTCAAAAATCTCCCAACAAACAAAAGCCCAGGGCCAGATGGCTTCCCAGGGGAATTCTATCAAACATTTAAAGAAGAATTAATACCTATTCTTCTGAAACTGTTCCAAAAAATAGAAATGGAAGGAGAACTTCCAAACTCATTTTATGAGGCCACCATTACCTTGACCCCAAAACCAAAGACCCCATCAAAAAGGAGAATTACAGACCAATATCCTTAATGAACATGGATGCAAAAATTCTCACCAAAATACTAGCCAATAAGATCCAACAGTACATTAAAAGGATTATTCACCATGACCAAGTGGGATTTATCCCTGGGCTGCAAGGTTGGTTCAACATCCGCAAATCAATCAATGTGATACAATACATTAACAAAAGAAAGAACAAGAATCATATGATCCTCTCAATAGATGCAGAAAAAGCATTTGACAAAGTACAGCATCCTTTCTTGATCAAAACTCTTCAGAGTATAGGGATAGAGGGTACATACCTCAATATCATAAAAGCCATCTATGAAAAACCCACAGCGAATATCATTCTCAATGGAGAAAAGCTGAGAGCTTTTCCCCTAAGGTCAGGAACGCGGCAGGGATGTCCACTATCACCACTGCTATTCAACATAGTATTAGAAGTCCTAGCCACAGCAATCAGACAACAAAAAGAAATCAAAGGCATCCAAATCGGCAAAGAAGAAGTCAAACTCTCACTCTTTGCAGATGATATGATACTGTATGTGGAAAACCCAAAAGACTCCACCCCAAAACGGCTAGAACTCATACAGGAATTCAGTAAAGTAGCAGGATATGAAATCAATGCACAGAAATCAGTGGCATTCCTATACACCAACAACAAGACAGAAGAGAGACAAATCAAGGAGTCGATCCCATTTACAATTGCACCCAAAACCATAAGATACCTAGGAATAAATTTAACCAAAGAGGCAAAGGATCTGTACTCAGAAAACTATAAAAGACTCATGAAAGAAATTGAAGAAGACACAAAGAAATGGAAAAACGTTCCATGCTCATGGATCGGAAGAACAAACATTGTGAAGATGTCAATGCTACCTAGAGCAATCTACACATTCAGTGCAATCCCCATCAAAATACCATCCACTTTTTTCAAAGAAATGGAACAAATAATCCTAAAATTTGTATGGAACCAGAAGAGACCCCAAATAGCCAGAGAAATATTGAAAAAGAAAAGCAAAGCTGGTGGCATCACAATTCTGGACTTCCAGCTCTATTACAAAGCTGTCATCATCAAGACAATGTGGTACTGGCACAAAAACAGACACATAGATCAATGGAACAGAATCGAGAGCCCAGAAATGGACCCTCAACTCTATGGTCAACTCATCTTTGACAAAGCAGGAAAGAATGTCCAATGGAATAAAGACAGTCTCTTCAACAAATGGTGTTGGGAAAATTGGACAGCCACATGCAGAAGAATGAAACTGGACCATTTCCTTACACCACACACAATAATAGACTCCAAATGGTTGAAAGACCTAAACGTGAGACAGGAGTCCATCAAAATCCTAAAGGAGAACACAGGTAGCAACCTCTTCGACCTCAGCCGCAGCAACTTCTTCCTAGAAACATCGCCAAAAGCAAGGAAAGCAAGGGCAAAAATGAACTATTGGGATTTCATCAAGATAAAAAGCTTTTGCACAGCAAAAGAAACAGTCAACAAAACCAAAAGACAACCAACAGAATGGGAGAAAATATTTGCAAATGACATATCAGATAAAGGGCTAGTATCCAAAATCTATAAAGAACATATCAAACTCAACACCCAAAGAACAAATAATCCAATCAAGAAATGGGCAGAAGACATGAACAGACATTTTTCCAAAGAAGACATCCAAATGGCCGACAGACACATGAAAAAGTGCTCAACATCGCTCGGCATCAGGGAAATCCAAATCAAAACCTCGATGAGATACCACCTCACACCCGTCAGAATGGCTAAAATTAACAAGTCAGGAAACGACAGATGTTGGCGGGGATGCAGAGAAAGGGGAACCCTCCTACACTGTTGGTGGGAATGCAAGCTGGTGCAACCACTCTGGAAAACAGTATGGAGGTTCCTCAAACAGTTGAAAATAGAGCTACCATACGATCCAGCAATTGCACTACTGGGTATTTACCCCAAAGATACAAATGTAGGGATCCGAAGGGGTACGTGCACCCCAATGTTTATAGCAGCAATGTCCACAATAGCCAAACTGTGGAAAGAGCCAAGATGTCCATCGACAGATGAATGGATAAAGAAGAAGTGGTATATATATATACAATGGAATACAAAAAGGAATGAGATCTTGCCATTTGCAACGACATGGATGGAATTGGAGGGTGTTATGCTGAGGGAAATAAGTCAATCAGCGAAAGACATGTATCATATGACCTCGCTGATAAGAGGAATTCTTAACCTCAGGAAACAAACTGAGGGTTGCTGGAGTGGTGGGGGGTGGGAGGGATGGGGTGGCTGGGTGACAGACATTGGGAGGGTATGTGCTATGGTGAGCGCTGTGAATTGTGCAAGACTGTTGAATCACAGGTCGGTAGTTCTGAAACAAATAATGCAATATATGTTAAGAAAAAAAAAAGAAGAAGATAGCAGGAGGGGAAGAATGAAGGGGAGTAAGTCGGAGGGGGAGACGAACCATGAGAGACGATGGACTCCGAAAAACAAACTGAGATTTCTAGAGGGGAGGGGGTTGGGGGGATGGGTTAGCCCGGTGATGGGTATTAAAGAGGGCACGTTCTGTGTGGAGCACTGGGTGTTATGCACAAACAATGAATCATGGAACACTACATCAAAAACTAATGATGTATGGTGATTAACATAACAATAAAAAATAAAAATATTAAAAAGATTACAATTATTTCCTTCAGGTTTGGAAACTAATTTTTAAAAACTCACAGGAAATTCTAGAAATATCAAGAATAAGACCAGGTGGTTGTTGTGCTAGAGTGGCTTATTAAATTCTAAGGGAAAAAACAAAAAGTGAGCAGGAAACATGGATAATAGTAAAGGGAAGGTGAGAATGGTCAGTTCTGGGAACAGGTTTGAGGTAGAAGAACTAATCTTGATGACCATTTTGATATCTTAAGAACGTAAATTATATCCTAGTCTATATTGTTTAGGCTCTTTGAATAAAAGTCAGCCAAGACTCACTTGGAAAAATACTACATTTACGATTTTGCAGCAATAATACTTATTATTGTGTTTCCTTAGTTCAGATACCAAGGCTTAGATGCATGATTTGCTCAATTATGTGAAAAATCTTTGTTGAAGTGGGCAGTTTATTAAAAAAGAGAGAGTGAGAGAAGAGGCAAACCAAAACGCGGACTCTTAACTATAGAGAATAAACAGAGTTGCTGGAGGGAGGTGGGTGGGGATGGCCAAGCTCTAAGGGGCTTGGCTCTAAGCCCATCTGGAGATGGGCTCTAAGGAGGGCACTTGTGATGAGCACTGAGTGTTGTATGGAATCACTAAATTCTACACCTGAAATTGATATCATACTGTATGTTAACTAACTGGAATTTAAATTAAAATGTGAAATTAGGGGCGCCTGGGTGGCTCCGTTGGTTAAATCACTCTTGATTTCGGCTTAGGTCATGATCTCAGGGCTCTGTGCTGAGCATGGAGCCTGCTTAAGATTCTCTCTGACTGTGGACTCTGAAAAACAACTGAGGGTTCTAGAGGGGAGGGGGGTGGGAGGATGGGTTAGCCTGGGGGGTGCGTATTAAGGAGGGCACGTTCTGCATGGAGCACTGGGTGTTATATGCAAACAATGAATCATGGAACACTACATCAAAAACTAATGATGTAATGTATGGTGATTAACATAACATAAAGAAAAAAAAAAGATTCTTTCTCTCCTCCCTCTGCCCCTCTGCCGGCTCTCTTTCCCTCTCTAAAAAAAAAAAAAAAAAAAAAAAAAAAAGTGAAACTAAAAAAACAAAAATAAAAAATAAAAATAAAAATCCTCCCAACCCCCCCAAAAAACAAACAAGCAAGCAAGCAAAGAACTGGGCGGTTTATTATACACAGTTTATAAATCTTAGCTCAGTATTTTCTCCACTAAATTTGAAAAGCTTTAGTATTTCTTGTCTAAATTGTTTCAAGTTCAGCTCTTACTGTAGTTTGTTTATTTATTTATTATATCCCTCCTACAACATGTGCCTGATCCAACTTTCATAATCACTGTTCCAATTACGTATTTTCTCAGATTGCTTTGTTAGTTTTCATAACCTCATCAGGTTAAAATTCTTTGTTACTGTGTTAAATTGTGAGTCAATTACCTTTATCTACTTTGCACACATATTGACTTGACTTAAATTATTTTAGACCCATGGATTCTGTCTTCTGCTCTACAAAATTAAATTTGAAAGGAGACTTCATAATATATATCAATAATCTGGGTTTTTTTAATCTTTTAAGAAGAGAATTGATTTTACCTTAAGAAATGAAAACCAGTTTCTAAATCCTCATATCCAGTAATATGATTGTAAAGCACTTGAAAAATGCAGAAACCCTAGATCTTGAATAATGACATTCTATAACTGATGCATTACTTCTTGATCTTTGAATCAACCATTGTTTTCTTTTTCAGCTAGTTAGACAGTAAAGTAAAAATTAAGGAAGACAAGTCCTTACCTTTTCCTTGACTGCTTCCAGTTCTGCATCTGTAATTTTCCACGGGGTTTCTCTCTTTAATTTCTCAGCAGTTGTTAAATCTTTGCAGCTTTCATGGAGACGGTATGGTTCAATCATCTCTTCAAAGACTTTCCAGCTGAAATTGGAATTATAAAGGAGGGCTCACAGTGGGAAACTAACTCATTATTTCACAGATACTCCAGGTATGACTGGCTCTGCTGGCTACAGAATCAGAGCTGAATGTCATGCAAATCTTTTAAGAATTATCTTTGCAGGGGACTTACTGTGAGTAAAGCCATGGATATAGTACTGCCTCCCTACCCAAGGAAAGGCCTTAACACGTTGAAGGCTTGTTAGCCTACTGTGTTTTAGATCCTCAATATAAACGCACCAACACACAGATAATAATTATTCTGCAAATACATTTCCTACATGGTGTAGTCAAAGACACCATTGTAATGTAGACACTTTAGCCCATAAGTAAGTTTCCATCTGCTTAAATGAGTTTCCATCTGCTTATTGTACAGACTGTCTAGGAGACATACATGAATTACTGTGGGAGATGAACTAGGTTGCTTGAGATGGGAGTTGGCTAGGCCTGCCCTCTCCTTTAGTCCATGCCACCCTCCCCCTGCTGGCAGGGGACATCGGTGGGCAGCTAGAAGAACAGCAAATTCAATGGTTATAGAGGAATTTGGATGTTTGCTGCAAATAATGCAGCCTTTGTCCTTCTGATGACTACTGTTGCTGTCTGAGATTTTTAAATGACTATTTTTCAGGTGCATGTTAGAAGAAAGAATAAAAATAATATTTTAATGTCTACAAATCAGAAGCCACTTTAAAGCAATTAAGAAGAAGTCATTGAGTAGAAAACTAGCAGCAGTATCTTACAGCTGTGGAACATTTTAAAAAAGTGCTAGAAAAATCTCATTTTGTCTTTCATAAGAACCTCAAAGATTTTTTTTAAACCGTAGTACAGAACAAAGCTTACAGTTTATGAGAGTAGTTGTCTTCAGTGTGTTACTAGGAGATGATGCCAAATATAAACAGTGTCTTTTGGTTTTATATAATGTGGCTTACTTATAACTTAGTAACTTTGAGATGAAGAGTAACTAGAATCAATGCACTGTTAGGTTAAGGAATTAAAATGATGGCATGAGGTCAATGATCTCATCGGTTGCCCTGATTTAGGATCTGCAGATCAAAGTGCAGAGATTATAAAGGAGCACCTACCAGTGCCTTTGTTAAGGGATTGAAGAGATACTTAATATCGTAGATTTCTGACACTTTGATTTATTTAGAATGGTGGACAACAACGGGGAACCACTGATATGCCCTATTATTCTTTCCACTACATAATACTTTTATTTACTCTTCCTCCTAACAGTGCCATGTCTTCAGAGACCTTTGGCCCTAATCTGTGCACTGGAAAGGTACCAGTCTAGGAGAGAAGAACCTTGGTTCTCGCGCTGGCTCTTCCATTGTCCTCCTGGACCTGGATAACCTTGCCTATAAAAGGAGGTAATGGTGGCTGCTCAGAGCTGGCCTGAAGATTGGTGTGATGGTTGGATGGTGATTCGGGTGACAGTGCTCTGAAAAGTGTACAGCGCCCTGTAAAACCAAGGCACTCATTTTTACTGAACAGCCACGGGACTGAGGTGAGCAATTGAGAGGCTCTCTGTTTAAGTTCTCCATATACTTATTTTGATCGGGATAAAAGTTCCTGCATCTCAGCCCAGGTGCTTATTAGAAAGACCAGTTCAAAAATAGTTTCCTAAGAAATTGAAGTGGAGTTAGAGGTTGCTCGTTGTCTCCCCAGCATCCATTGTAGTTTGGGTGGGAGTGACTCCATCCCCAGCATCAGCTAATCAGCACAATTCTATTCTGTCTGCCAGAGTGGTTGGCCAGGGTAGCCCCAGAGCCCAGGCAAGCTTGACCAAGAGGCACCTAGCATTCCACTGACCAAGAAAGTGACTGAGTTGCTTAGGTTGGTCCAACTTGAATGGAGCCCATGACTTGAGTTCAATGACTAGAGAAGAGACAAACTTTCTCTCCCACTGAACATAAATGAGCAAGTATGTAGCCCTGGTTGCTGTCATCTTGTTTTTATGAGCTAAATCAACTTTGATTGATGATTTCATAATGGACCAAGGTAGAGCAGAGATAATGGAAGAGAATTAGTCTTTGATTATATATAAAATTAACCTTCTAGATCAAGCTTTGCCTGAAAGCCAAAACATAATTGGATTTTTCAGTTATGTTTGCCAATAATTTCATTATTTAAGTCATCATAAGTTTTCTTTTCCTTGCACTGAAACATGCTAAGTGACATAATAGGTTATAATGGGGATGTATTTGCCCATTTATTTTCTCTCAACTCTTACTGTTCCTTGTCTATGTTCATCTTTGACTTCATCCTAAGGTTCATCCCTGAACTGGCCATTTTGCATTCTCCTAGCTAGGTGATGCAAAGGTGGCTCAAGATTTCTATCCTGATTCTCATTAAATCTGATTTTTCACATAAATGGTTTTTAATTGACTCTAGAATGGGCCAAGTTGACTCTAGAATAGGCCAAGTAGTTGATTCTAGAAGAGGCCAATAGACTCTAGATTAGGCCAAATAGGCCGTGCTTTGAAAATAAATGACAATTAATTCAATTTAAAAATTAACTTACACCTGCCTTGCCTTTCCCATCTTTATTCTTCATAACAAAGTTTAAAAATTTTTTAATTGTAAAAAAATTTTCCCCTAAGTTCATATAAGATTTCCTTTCTCAAATTAATATACTAGTTGTTTTATGACCACTCTAGTATCTTTTTTTTTAACAGATTTTATTTATTTATTTATTTGAGAGAAAGAGAGTACAGGGAGAGGGGAAAGGGGGAGGGAGAGGGACAAGCAGACTCTGTGCTGAGCACAGAGCCCCACACAGGACTGGATCTCATGACCCTGAGATTATGACCTGAGCTGAAATCAAGAGTCAGCTGCTTAATGGAATGGACCACCCAGGCATCCCACCACTCCAGTAGCTTTAAATTATCCAGGTAATTGCTTCTACTTTCTCTTTAATTTCTGTATAAAGATTGTTGTCTTTTCGGCCTATGACTTTTAATTCAGTATATTCAATAAAAAATGAAATTTAATCACAAGAGATTTTCAGTTCCTCCAGGCTCAATCATTTTCTCATTATCTTTGCTTTTGTACTCCCTTTCACCCTTGCCCGGCCATATTTATGATGTTTCTTTGGTAAAATATCTCCATCAACACTTATGTTTTATGGGTAGTTGAAAGATTTATTAGAGGCAATTTAGGTACATTTAACATTAGCCTCCAACATGGAAATAATTGACAAACTATTACCAAGAAAAAACAGTGATGAGGAGATAATTGTTAATGGTAGGTAGGGGCTGCCTGGCCAAGAAGAGCTGAAATTGAACTGGCGCTCTAAGCATTGGGCCCCAGGACAGGGCCTGCATCAGCCCAGAGGAAGAGTCTTCTTACTTGAATTGAACTCAGAGGAATTGCCTTTTAAAAATTATCACAAAGGCCTCAACAAAGTAGGTTTAGAGAGAACATACCTCAACATAATAAAGGCCATATATGAAAAACCCACATCTCATCATAATCAACTGTGAAAAACTGATAGGTTTCCCCCTAAGATCAGGAATAACACAAGGATGTCCACTCTCACCACTTTTATTCGACATAGTACTGGAAGTGCTAGCCATAGCAATCAAACAAGAAAAAGAAACATTCAAATTGGTAAGGAAGAGGTAAGCTTTCACTACGTGCAGCTGACATGATATTACATATCAAAACCTCTAAAAATCCCACCCAAAACTACTAGAACCAATAAATGAATTCAGTAAGGTCACAGGATACAAAATCAATGTACAGAAATCCACTGCATTTCTATACACTATATACTAATATAGTATATATTTCTATATACTATATATTACTATATTACTATATATTATATACTATATATAGTGTGCTATAGATACTATATATTACTATATAATATATATTTCTACATAATATAGTATATATTTCTATATCCTAATTGGGAAGCAACAGAAAGAGAAATTAAGAAAGCAATCCCTTTTACAATTGCACCCAAAATAATAAAATATCTGGGAATAAACTTAAGGAAGTGAAACACCTATACTGAAAAGTATAAAACATTAATGAAAGAAATTGAAGATGACACAAACAAATGGAAAGATATTTCATGCTCATAAATTGGAACAAATATTGTTAAAATGTCTATACTACTTAGAGCATTCTACAGATTTAATGCAATCCCTATGAAAATACCAATAGCATTTTTCACAGTACTAGAACAAATAATCCTAAAATTTGTATAGAACCACGAGAGACCCCAAATAGCCCAAACAATCTTGAAAAAGAAAAACAAAGCTAGAGATATCACAAGTCTAGATTTCAAGTTATACTACAAAGCTGTAGTAATCAAAATAGTATGGTCCTGGCACAAAAATAGACACATAGATCAATGGAACAGGATAGAAAGCCCAGAAACAAACCCGTGATTATATGGTCAATTAATCTTCAACAAAGGCGGCAAGAATATGCAGTGGGAAAAAGACAGTCTCTTCAATAAATGGTATTGGGAAAACTGGGCAGTTATATGCAAAAGAATAAAGCAGGACCACTTTCCTACACAATACACAAAAAATAAACTCAAAACGGATTAAAGATGTGAGATCTGAAACCATAAAAATCCTAGAAGAGAGCACAGGCAGTAATTTCTCTGACATCGGCCATAGAAACATTTTTCTAGATATGTCTCTTAAGGCAGGGGACATAAAAGCAAAAATAAACTATTGGTACTACATCAAAATAAAAAGCTTGGGCGCCTGGGTGGCTCAGTTGGTTAAGCAACTGCCTTCGGCTCAGGTCATGATCCTGGAGTCCCGGGATCGAGTCCCGCATCGGGGTCCCTGCTCAGCGTGGAGTCTGCTTCTCCCTCTGACCCTTCCCCCTCTCATGCTCTCTCTCTCTCTCTCATTCTCTCTCTCAAATAAATAAATAAAATCTTAAAAAAAAAATAAAAAGCTTGTGCACAGTGAAGGAAACAATCAACAAAACTAAAAGGCAATACTGAAGGGAAAGAGATATTTGCAAATGACATATCTGATAAAGGGTTAGTATTGAAAAATATATAAAGAACTTACACAACTCAACACCCCAAAAATAAATTATCTAATTAAAAAATGGGCAGAAGACATGAACAGACATTTCTCCAAAGAAGACATACAGATGGACAACAGACACATGAAAAGATGCTCAACATCACTCATCATCAGGGAAATGCAAATCAAAACTACAATGAGATACCACCTCACACCTGTTGGAATGGCTAAAGTCAAAAACACAAGAAACAGCAAGTGTGGTGAGGATGTGGAGAAAAAGGAACCATTGTGAACTGTTGGTGGGAATGCAAACTGGTGCTGCTACTCTGGAAAATAGTATGGGGGTTCCTCAAAAAATTTAAAATAGAACTACCCTATGATCTAGCAATTGCACTACTGGGTATTTACCCAGAGAATACAAAAACACTAACTTGAAAGGATATATGCATCCCTATGTTTATTGCAGCAGTATTTATAATAGCCAAATTATGGAAACAGCCCAAGTGTCCATTGACTGATGAATAGATAAAGAAGATAAAGATATGTACATATCTGTACATATGTATATGTGGTACATATATGTACCATATCTTCTTTATCCATATATAAATATATATCCATATTTGTATGTATATAATATATATAATATGTGTATATATATATACACACAATATATATATCATTCAGACGTGTAGTATATTATTTATATACACAATATATTACTCAGCCACAAAAAAGAATGAAATCTTGTCATTTGCAGCAACATGGATGGAGCTAGAGAGCGTAATGCTATGTGAAATAAACCAGAGAAAGACAAATACCATATGATTTCACTCCTATGTGGAATTTAAGAAACAAAACAAATGGACAAAGGAAAAAGAGAGAGAGAGAAATAAACTAAGAAACAGATTCTTAACTATAGAGAACAACCTGATGGTTATCAGAGGGGAGGTGGGGGGTGGGGGGATGGGAAAGAGGTGAAGTAGATTAAGAGCACGCTTATCATGATGAGCACTGAGTAATGCATAGAATTGTTGAATCACTATATTGTACACCTGAAACTAATATAACATGGTTAACTATACTGGAATTAAAATAAAAAACCTTAATAAAAAATTATCACAAAGGTACCAGGTGTGCTACCAATGGCCATCTGTGAGATTAACTGAGTGATCATTCTCTGTTTTAAAATAGGGGTGCCTTTATATATTTGAACATCATTGCCGGCACCAGATACGTGACTGTTTTACAAAGCAGTATATGATATCAGTTACAGTGGAGAGCTGAAGGGAGGAGAATGGCATTTCCAGCACCTCTCTTCTTGGGGGGTATTTTGTCTTCACACCAGGGTACAATAGCTGCAAAGATTCTTTTATTCCAGTAAAAAATGGATTTTTGGTTTTCTGCATCTTCCTCAAGACCTTGAACTATCAGAGAAAAAAATCCCCCAAATTGTGAAATCCAATTCATTTTTTTCCCAAGAAAGGGAACTAGATCTCTTCATTGCAGGATGATGAGGTTATATAAGAAACGGCACATTAAAATGGTGTCTAAAAGCAAATTTAGATACCAGGACAAAAGCAAAAATGCCTGGTCCTTCGTTTTTTACTCCTCTCCATAATGTTGGCTGCCTGAAAAGAGAAAAACATGGCACAAAGTTGAGGGTTAGTCAGAGAAATTGTGTCTAGCCCATCATGGGCACTCAGACAGTGAAAGGCACCAGTGGAAGGGTACACGGACCTCCTTGGTGATGAGACAGATAGGACAGGTATGCAGGGGGAACTATGGCAGCTGGACAGAGACCAGCAGGAAAGAAAGGGAAAGAAACTTGGGTAGAGAAAACCAGATTGATCCGCAAAGAGGCAAAGGATAGAGGAACAAATGAATCAGCAAGCACAGACAGTCCTTAGCTGCTAAGACAAACAGCAGGAAGAATTTGGCTACAAGAAGTAGATGACTAATTTGTGCCCAGCACCGAGCCAGGGCTAATAGAAAATCTGAAGTCAGTAGGGGACACCATGACTACCCTACAGACAACAGTAAATGGCCCTATGCTTGTCGCGCTCTGGCAGGCTCTGGCCTGTTGTGACGTGGCACACGCTAGGAAATCATTGTACCTGCTGTGTTATGAAATAGAATGCATTTCCACCAATTAAAGACATAAGAGGAGGCTGTTTCATCACATCACTGCAAAAGCCAAAGAGGCAATGTCTTAGAAATTAGAAATTCTTCAAATGAAATGTGGAAGGCTACCAGAGATTACTACATGACAACCCAGTTAATGGCAGAATGTTAATTCCTTTTACCAAGGAGGATTATAAACTCTTCTTAATTTTTCTTAAGTTTTTAAAACTGTAGAAATATAGGAATAGAAGGCATTCTATTCTATTCTAGAAGTGGTATATACGATGTGAGGAAATATGGCACAGTAATAACCCAGGTGAGTTCTGTCGATTATAGCTTTCTTATCACAATTAGGATGTTTTGGAAAGCCATTTCGACTGACCCACAGCCTTGGAGGACTCATGAATCCCTCAAATGATATGAAGTTCAAGGTTGTTGTGTAGTTGATAAGACTGCGTCTTACATCTGGATGATTTTCTGTTAGGTATTAAGCTCATATAGGATAACAATGAATCCAAAGAAGGGAGGAAGGGTGAGACTTGAGTGTGGAATTGAAAGCCATCAGGAGCTGCAGGAGGAAGGAGAAATGACGGTGAGCAGAAGTGCGAACAGGTCCGAAAGGAGAGGGAGAACCGAAGCTACACTGAGATCCTTGCGTCCCTGTGTACTCTCAGCCTTGAAGGCCCCACTCCACACCAAATCCCATGTATTAAATTGCTTCCAGATGCAGCAGTAAATATGATTTTGGACTGTAAACAACTGAAAAATATTATAATTGGTAAGTTATCACTCTAAGTAGTTTATTTAGTATCGGCTATCATTTCCAGTCCATCTTCTTGCACTTCTGGGAACTCCCGTGAGGATCTAACCTACAAGCTGTTTTCCAGTATCATGGACTTGACAAATTTAACAGTTAACGAGGGTTAAAATGATGTCATGATTTGAAGACGTTTAAACAATTATTTTCAGCATTTTAAAATTTCGGAGCCAATACACTTCCTTACCAGGCTTCAGATAGTTTTAGAGGACACCCAAAATTCCATAGCTCTAAGTGCTGGGTCCTTAGTGCCTGAAAGTGAAAATGGCCATGGAGGGTCGGTTCTGTCATTGTGCCAGGAAGACTCAAGAGGTTTCTAGCTTCTCTATCAGAGCTCCCTCATGCAGGATGCACCACCAGTAACTTTAAAAAAAAATTTTTTTAAAGATTTATTTATTTATTTTCTAGGGAGGGGAAGGGCCGAGGGGCGAGGGGAGAGAGAAAATCTCAGGCAGACTCCCCGCTGAGCAAGCACAGGGCCTGAGGTGGGGCTCGATCTCACGACCCTGAGATCATGACCTGAGCTGAAATCAAGAGTGGACGCTCAAATGACCGCGCCACCCAGCCACCCCACCAGTAACTTTAAATAATGAAAACTTGCCCTGACTGCCCAGTCCAGAATATCTGGGTTTGTGTCTCCTGCTACTCTTGCCGCCATAGAAACCGAGAACATGAAGGGCAATTCTAAAATGCTAACTAACCTGTGTTTCAACAGTTCTCCCTCTCAAGCTCAATTTTACCATGAAATCTTTTTCCTTCCATTATAATTTATTTGACCACTCTGCATGGTTATTCGAAGTTCGTTTTTATTATATTTTATTAGGAGGTCACTGCAGTCGGTAGATGACATTTTTACCCTTTAATAATCAGCACAAAAGAAAACGAGAGAGTACCGGGGCAAACCATGGATCTCGTTAAATGCTTCATACCTCTCTTTGTTTGGCTTAATGTTGATGTCACCAATGATATGGATATCTGCAAATTTTATCCTAAATTTGCTCAGAAGAGAAGCCATTCTGGAAATATAAGAGAGAAATACTTCATCATTGCATATGTAACTATTTTCAGGCAAAGAGTTCACGTCTTATTTCAGCTTCATATTCAGACAAAGGCTGTGTTTAGTGTTCGATTTCCATCACCGTATACTAAAGGTGGACCAAGCACATTCCACTGAAGGCAAAGACAAATTCATGTCAGTGCAGACCCTAGGAATAGCAAACCCAACTCTGCATTCACATATTATTGACTATTATCTTGCTGATCATTTTTAGAGTTATTGACAACATACTAACAAACTAATAATTATGATATATCATTATCTATTGGAGGTTCTTTCCCTGGCAACTGAAATTTTTGATACAATTTCAAAGTTACAGAAAAATTGCAAGGATGGTGCAAAAAATCCCAAACTCACCAGTTGTTTATACTTTGCCCCATTTGATGTAACACCTTTTTCTCTTTCTACACAGCTGCATCTGTCTATCTACATCTTCCTTCTTTCTTGCTTGCTTCCTACTCACTTACCCAATTGCCCAGCTGCCGCTATCAAGCCTCTTTACCTATAAATACTTCAGTATTTCCTAAGAATAAGAACATTCTCTTACACAAAGTACACTTTTTGAAATCAGGAAATTTAACATTGATGCCATGCTATCATGTAATCCACCAACCATTTTTAAATTTCATCACTTGCCCCAGTAAGTTACTGGAGGCTTTAAGAAAATATAAATTGTTATAGCCATCATGTTAGTTTCCATTATAATACGACTCTCTTTAAGGGGAATTAAGTGTGTGTGTATATATCATATACATATATAATATATATAGTTTACATTATATATGAATATATATAATATATTTTATGTGTGTGTGTGTGTGTGTGTGTGTATAATCCTCCCAGGAAGGGGGGAAAATATGAAAAATTACTAAATAAAAGCCTGTCATTATTTTGATTTCTGGAAGAGCTCGGGACTCAGGCCTGCCACGAGGGCCCCAAGGCTGCTAAAGGTGGCTCTCCAGATTTCCACCAGAGACCTTTGGATGCATGGCATTCCTAACATGCTTGCTGTTTCCACAACTACACATTAGGCTCTCCATGACTAAATCAATGACAAAGATGCAAATTTACATTTTGGAGACTGATTTATTTTTTTAATTACAAGAGTTTTCAACAGTCATCCATTTAAACTCTTTCAAGCTACAGATGAGAAACTGGGAACCCGGGTCTGGGCTGCCGCGACTGTGGCGGAGTCCGGGAGCTTGTTGGGGGCGGGGCTGGGACGAGGACGGGGTGCAGTCTCTCAGTTCTATTTTTTAAGTGTGCTGTGCTGGAGTGACCATCACAAATCAACAGGTTCGACCCGCCCCAAAGAAGCTACTCGATACGAATTGCTTTGGGCTTTTCCTTTCTTGGATACATTCACTCGTCAAATCAAAGCAAACATTACACAAGATAAGGAGAGTCTCATTCAAGACGTGAGATGAGGCTTCTGTGTCAAATTCCTTTTTGAAAGCATTTGTGGCAGGGGATCAAGGGACGTGAAGACAGTGATTACAAGAAGTACACAGATAATTTAATGACCAGAAAACCAAGTAAGCACGAGGCCCATCACGGTGGTTTTGTCTCTTGTGTCTCAAAAACACTTACAGTTATTAAAATTAAAGCATTAAAGCAACAGATGTCCAAAGTGCTCTAACACAGAAGTGATGAGTTACTTACGCTATTTTTTCTTCTTCAATGCGGTTGATCTTTCCTCCAACATAGATTCTTAATTTACAGTCTTTCCATTTTTTTCTGAGAGTCAAGATATAGGGGATAAGAAGTGTTAACCCTGAAAAAAGAATAAATATGACAGAAAGAATGAATGTATTTTGCTGAAAGGAAATGAATAGCTTTAAATCTTTATTCATTCTCACATTCATTGCTCCTAAATAATTTAAAATGGTGGGAAAACACAGAAATATTATTCTTCAACTGATATCATTTTCATATACCTTCCCATGCAGTTTGTTAAATTGATCAACATAGCAATTCTGCTCCCTAGTGTATATTCTGGAATTGTTTTTACCTCCATCATCAAACAACCACCACACATCAATTGTGCCCTTTCCTTGCTTCTTTTTAAATTGGGTGCTGGCTTCTACCAGTTTCTGGTTGAACTCCCCCACGTGCATCGACTGGATTGTGTTCATGCTGCTGTCTGTAATGAAAGAAAAAGTAGTAGACCTATTTGTCTTTTGAAGAAAGAAACAAAATAACTTGCCAATAAATCTATTCAGGAAAATAGAGAAAGGGTCATGAATTTGTAAGCTTTTTTATCCTTATAGGTAAACAGTGAGCTTGGAGAAAGGGAGATACAGGTCAAGTCCCACCGTAATTTAGATCACCTTTAATAGTTCAAAAGAATTTGATATTGGTTTCATGATCACAGTTTTCATTATAAAGCAGTAGATTATTTTCAGGTCTCTAGTAATCTCAGGGCAGAATTATTACTTAGGCAGGTAATGATGCTAAATGATCTGCTACAATAGCCAAAATATTCCTATTTTTAAAAACTTCAACTATAACTTAATCCTATTTTCAAATTTACTTGAAAGTAGAAAATGTGGTGATTGGTTTTCTAGAGATAAGCAATAGAATCAGAAGTATTTCTTCATTGGAGCATTCATGTGAGTGCAATTGGTGTAAATTCCATGCATATCTGGATTATAAAGGTGGATAGGGACCAAATGCATCTTGACCCTATGACCCTTTGGTCCTAATGTCAGCCTGGCTTGCTTTCCTGTTTTCAAGGAGCCTTATGAAGTGAAGGGAAAACCACTGAGCTATTTGAATCTCTGTGAATGAGATGGAAAAGCCAGGAAATACGGAGAGACAAAATTCCTTCACTTGAGGTAGAGATAAGGGTGCACAGAAAGAACTTAAATTTTTTTTTAAATGCACTTTCCACCCTATCAAGGATCCAGCGAAAGTATACTAGGGAACTAGGCCAGTGTTTGAGCAGGACCCTGGCTTCTATTTGCCAGTTGAGATTTTCGTTGCTACACCAAAGATATTATTTCTCATTTCCGCATCTTTTAAAGTTGTGACTTCGTTGCTCCGTTTCAAAGAGATGGTGTTAGCAAAGTGCTTACAACAGCTGCTTCAGAGCTTCCTCTCTGATCTGAGAGGTTCTAAAGATGCTTTGTTCTGTCTTTTGCCGTTTCCATGTTTAGGGCCTGTCAGTTCTGAAGCAATTATCTTACATGGCTTCTCTCTCCCTAGGACTGCAGAGGGAGAAAGTAAATATCTTTACAAAATGGACCAAACTCTGCCCCCACTTACATGCAAATCAAAGCATCCAGAGGACTCAGGCATTCGTGCCTGGAGGTAGGGTTTGTCCTGATCTAGAACTCCAAAGAGTTGTCAATCAATGAAAGCCCAGAGCGGTGAAGGAGCCTCCTTTAGGGATGCGTTTGAAATTTGAGGTGTTGGAAATAAAACATAACATCATTTCGCTTTTCTGAGCAATGAGACCTGTTGACTTGCAGAGGAGTACATTTTTGCCAAAAGATTTGTGATGCAGAAACAGGATTCCAGAATAAATTATGAGTCCCTTTTCATTAATAAGAACATCGATGCTTCCCTCCTCCCCCATCAGCTAAAGAACAGTATTGGGCTATGACTTCTGAATTTTCCATTGCTTTTCCAGACTGTAACTAACATTGAATGATTGAATGGTAGAACAGATTCAATGAATAGTTCACATTTCTCATGAATAAAGCAAATAATTGAAAAGGAAAGAAAAGGAAAGAAGACAGTTAGCATCCAGATGGTCTTATTCTAATATTTACACTCTGGAGGTCCTGATGTACCTCCAACTTGAGATTCAAACACATCATTTTCCTAGACAATGTCATGTTAAGGTGGGCAATACTTAATAGGTTTTTCTATAGCCCATGGAATATTCCAGGAACCCAAGGGTACTTCTAGTATTTGAGGAGGGGCAATGTTTACCTTTCATGTTATTCTATGTAAATATATAAAAATATTGTATTACAGGGGAAACTTTGTCCTTGGGCTATAGTAGGAAAACAAGCAAACAGAATCAAACCTTTTCCAGGGTGTTAGAAGGCCTCATTGAAGGATCTCTTTGAAAGGTTGGATCCTGTCAAACTGGACCAGAAGCCTGCTAAGTCTCAATTTGGATCTTGCTGTTTGACTTGAAAACCCTCCAGGAAAAATGATCTTTTCTAGGGCTCACACCAAATGATTTCAGTTAAGTGTAGGATTATTTGTGTACGTTAACATTCTAATTTTCTACCAGCAGAGGTCGCCGTGGACCTCATTAAATCCAAACCTGCACTGTTTCAGGAAAGAAAGCAATTTTCAATTTTCAAAAAAAGATGTTTGAATCACCTGTTTATAAGTTTTATAAAAAGCTCTCGTTCTGTAGTCTTCCATGCCTAGGGTGCATACTGGACATTCAGAGGTAAGTGTACCACTCAGCTGAAATCTACAGGTAATTAGTATCAGTGAAGTTCCAAGTCCAGAATTCTGGTTTGTGTTAAAGATAGATGCTTTTTCAAAATTAGGGTTCTCATTTACCTGTACTAGTCAACTTTTAGTCTCCTGAAATGTCTGCAAGGGGTATGTAAGGGGTATGTGTGTGTGTGTGTGTGTGTGTGTGTGTGTGTGTGTGTGTGTAGATAAATCCATTTGGATATTTGTTCTTAAATTTCTATCCCCTTTCCATCTTAAATAAGAAATGTCCATTTTATGGCACTCTAATCCACGTAGGCACTATAGGACTCCCAAACCAATATTATTATTTTAAAATTAAGGTTTTACAGTGAGATGGCACAAAGGGCTTACTGTTACTGATAAATAACTTATACATTTCTTCTACACTACTGTCTTGAAAGAAGCGTCTTTCAGTCCTTCGCTACTCAATGCCCCCAACATCTCAGATGCGGACTTCTGACCCCTATCGATACTCAAGCAGTGGCTCATTTCGTATCTTTCTTGTGAATTTTGGAAGTACTTACCTTTCTTAGGAGCTGGCTTAGTAATGTTCAACTTGCTAGCTTTTTTAAACAAGCCTCGGATGCCTCCACTTCCTTCTTCACATTCGTTATCTTTGATAGTGGCTTCCAAAGCCAGTCTCTCCTGTTCCAATTTCTCTAATTCATCTAATGCAAGAAGACAAAAATCACTTACTTAACTCAGAGTGACAAAGTTTCCAGGAGCAACCTTATAAATTGTTTTAATATAGAAAACGGGGTCCCATTTGCAACAATGGGATGGAGCTAGAGTATTATGCTAAGTGAAATAAGTGGAATATTCCACTATATGTGGACTTTAAGAAAGAAAAACAGAGGAACATATGGAAAGGGAGAAAAAAAGAGAGAGGGAAACAAACCATAAGAGACTATTTTCTTTTTTAAAGATTTTATTTATTTATTTGACAGAGAGAGCGAGCACACAAACAGGGGGAGCAGAAGAGGGAGAGGGAGAAGCAGACTCACCAGTGAGCAGGGAGCCCGATGCGGACCTCGATCCCAGGACCCTAAGATCATGACCTGAGCCAAAGGCTCACGCTTAACCAACTGTGCCACCCAGGTGTTCCCATAAGAAACTCTTAATGAGAGAGAACAAACCGAGGGCTGCTGGAGAGGAGGTGGATGGGGGATGGGCTAGGTGAGTGATGGGTATTAAGGAGGGCACTTGTAAAAGAAAAAATGGAGGGCACTTGCGATGAGCACTGGGTGTTGTATGTAGATGATGAATCACTGAATTCTACTCCAGAAAACCATATTGCACTGTATGTTAACTAAGTAAAATTTAAATAAAAAGTAAATAAAAAATAAAACATGGTGTCTATGCAATAAAATTATTATACATCATATGATTTTTTTCCAAATGATTATTAAAAAGTAATATATATCAGCAAATTATATTCAGAAAGTAATAGCTAGCTCAGGAAATAGCTCTATGTGTTGTTATAATACATGAAGTTACTAGGTTTTTATTTGTGAAGGTAAGGGAGTCTATTTAATGACATCTTCATTCACTTCAGGTAAAACCCCAAAAGCCAGATCCGCTGTACATAAGATCTTGTACACTGTATGCCACTGATTTACTGACCTAAAATCCTGGGTTGGGTATTTGACAAGCAGAAGTGCCAAAGTATACCAGGTATGTATCAGGCACATAACAGTGCCTCCTGAATTGCAGCATAAAACTAGACAGCAAGAATTAAGGAAAGATAACCAAACCTTATATAAAGCCTTGTATGGGCTCTGAATAGAAATTACAGTGAAAAATGTCCACTAACCATTCTTTTTTTTTAAGAGAGAGAGAATGCACACACAGGGGGCAGGGAGAGAGAGAATCCTAAGCAGGCTTCACACCCAGCATGGAGCCCTCACGACCCTGAGATAATGACCTGAGCTGAAATCAAGAGTTAAATGCTTGACCGACTGAGCCACTCAGGCACCCCAACAATTCTTTCTGATAAGCAAAATACTTCCTGGAATGAATGACCAAAGTGAAAGAAAGAAAAACTGAGGTTTCTGTGTGCCTGTCAGAGTTCAAATGGCTAAGAAGGGTCTCACGACAGTCGAGTCTGGAGCAAGAGTTCAGCTGTGCAGCCTCCTCTCCAGGGCTGAGACCCACTATCCAAGCTTTGATGTGGCATCTGGCTGCCTTTTATCTTTTTTGGATTCTGATCGTGACCCCAAATTCCTAACTGCTATGTAAGGCCTTGCATCCCTCTCTGACGTCAACCTGCATTGGATCAGGGTGAATAAGACCTTAAGAGCCGTCAGGGAACAGTGTTACAGAATGACAGGCACTCTTGCTTACAGTGGGCAAGGAGGCCACTTGTCAGATCCCCTCATCTTTTTGCTTTCTGGGAGCAGAGACTTAGAAGATGAGCAATATTCTGAGGAACACAGTAGAAAACCTAGCTTCAGTGTTACAAAACACTGGTAGGGCTTCTGTAAATGTCAACCCTTGGAGCCTGTTGCCTTATCTATCTGGGAAGCGAAGCTATACAAATTCTCGATTTATCAATTATGTACTAACTAAATCTGTCAAAACAGTCACATCCCTAGACAGTGCTGTGTTATGCAGCTCCACAGAATTGTCTGGCCCCTTTCCAGGTCTTAGCAATTAATCTTTTGCCAGTGGCATGAGATTTAAGGTCAAATCACCCATGTGATTTCCCCAAAGCTTCAAAGGTTCTCAAGATCAGCAACTGTAGAAAATATGAGAAATTAGACTGATGGTATTAAAGCTCAGACAGGAGTTGCTTACCCCTGACTTTCGAAAGGTGAACACAAGCTGCATTGCATGGGAGGTCATGACCGGTGACAGCTCTGCGGCGGGCTTTCTGTGACATGAAGCGAGTCATTTACTTTTCCTATGCCTCTGATTTCCTATCTGTGAAATGGAAAATTGTAACCCTTCCCCTTTCCAACTCTCCCAGCTTTGCAAAAAGAATAAACAACAGTTTCTGCATGGTGCTTTGTGGCTCCTTAAAGAACAAAGCAACGAGCGTGTTCTATAGGCGGTGTATTCATGCAACCACTGGAAATGGACTTAGTCATGCAAAGCAAATTGAGTATTTTGAGAAGCTTGGGAGTTATTTTAGCAATTACTATGTATTGCACACTCTTTGGGTGCCCAGTACTGTGCTGCATATTATTCCTTCCCAAATGACTCTGAGATAGTTACTATTATTACTCTCATTTTGTAGATGAAGAAACTGAGGCTCAAAGAGGTTAAGTAATTTGTCTGATGCCACCCAGAAAATAACAGGGTTCAAATGAAAAGAGGCCGGCTTGACTCCAGATCCTGCATGCTTTCCCTTTTGCTTTTTGCTCATTACTCTTATCTCAGATTTGTTCCATTAACCTCCAACACTTCATTGTCAGGCGAACCTAAACACTCTCGGGCATATGGTGTAATGCCAAGTTAGCTCCCCCAAAAGATGGCCCCTCCTGCATGTCATTGTAAAGGAAGGACCCTGAAGACACAGGTACAGATGACAGGCTGCCTCCCAGGGCAGCACCATGGGAGGCGTCACCAGCCCAGGGAATGGCCCCCTAGCTATTATCTACCATTTGGGATGCTGCAGGGGTCCAGCTGTGGTTGGGATGCTGCAGGGGTCCAGCTGTGGGGTAACCTCCTCTTTGCAGTTCTCTGGAAGGTGCATATTGGCGAGCTTCTTTGGGGAGCAATGGCAAGTGCCACGCTGGGGAAGGGTTTCTTTTGCTTTCTTTTTTTGGCAGGCTCCTGCACGCCCTGTGATCAGTTGCCACGTTCCTCATCCTCGGGTTTGGACAAAGGAGGAAAAAAGATAAATCCTCCTTTGTCACAGAGTCAGCTGGCTGAGTGAGCCGGGAGCTACTCCAACTATTTGCTCAAAGGTATGTACACAGCCCATCCTGGACAGAGCAGACTGAAAAATCCTAGGCCCCAGAGACAAAACCAGACTTCATTGGAATGCATCAGATTCAGCAGTCCCCTCAAAGACAACAGACAGCAGTCTGTTCTATGCGCGAAGATCTGCTTGCTTGGCCATCTTGGATTTTCACATCCACCAAGTGGTCTGATCCCTTGCACTGTGATTTTGCAAATTCTTATTAGAGCTAATGCTTAATTATTCACTTTGTAGTTGATCTAAGGCCTCCTCCTGTCCAATCCATCCTTTCCTAATTTCAGTGCTAAGCAGAAGTGACGGTGTGACGATCTGTTCCGAATGATCTATCTGGTGTACTGCTCGCCTCTGTTCGCATGGGAGTCCAGAGTAGACTTAGTCAAAACATTTCTTTCAACGAGAGTACTGGCTAGCCGACTTGCAAAAGTGTACCATTGGACACAAGGGGGTGAGCCCAGGGAGTATGGATTGATAGGCATAAACTGATTTCCCCGAGGCTGACGATAACAATTACTCATTCCATCACAACTGCATTTGTGATGTTCCGGATTCACAAACCCTTCCCACAGAGGACCTTATCTGATCCCAACGCCAGTACTGGGATGCCCGCAGAGCTAGTGGCATTCTCCCCATTTGACTGTGGAGGAAACCGGCTCAGACAGTTCAAGGTTGCACAGCTGGTGATGCAAGGTCCTGCTTCCAATCCTAGCGTTCTCCCTCATTACCATCCTTCCTTGGCAATATGCTCTGATCGCCAATATCTGCCTGTTGAAGAAATACACAGTCTGCATTTTTTTTGAAGAGGCCATCCCCCAATTATAATGCTTCATCTTTCCATGAGACTCTGCTTCAAACTTTATTCCAGTAACTACACCTGTGTGATGGGGAATAGAGTTTTAAGACACATGTTTATTTTAATTCCTCTGGACTGCAAATTCCTAGAGGGTAGCTTATGTCATATTTCATCGCCCCCATTTACTGAGAGTTTCTTTTGTGCCACGTACAATGCCAAATATTTTTGCAGCTGTAATATCCTTTAATCCAAGATAGTAAATCTGTGAGCTAGATGCTATAATTATTTCTACCTGAAAATGTGAAAAGTGAAACAGAAAAGATGAGTAATTTGACTAAGGCTACTCAGCCAAAAAAGCATCGAGCTGGAATTTAAACCCAGGTCTGACAGATTTCAAAGCCTACGCTTAGAGTTCTCACATTCTTAGCTGTGCCCACGCCTCCCTACTCATGCCTACCACCAGGACAAACACTCAAGAATAGTCTGTTGGAATAAAAGAACAAGTCAGTGCTATTCAACACAGTTCAATACATTTAAAAGTATCTCTATAAAGGAAGGAAAACAAAAGGATAGTTGTCAGGGCTGAGTGTGTGTAAAGTACTGTGCGCAGGGGGTACAAAACACAGTGTTGAAAAGAAGCAGGGTTAATGTTGTACCCAGAGTTATAAAAAGGGGACCTAATAGAGGCTGATGGTACAAACCAGGATGGAATGTGACAAACCAGGATGGAATGTGACAGGCAGGACTGAGCAGAAGAACGATGAGAGGCAGGGAAAGGGATCCTTTCCCTGGAAAGATCCGCCACCTGAACATCAGGTAGGAATTTGAAGCTTCCATAGTAGATAATTCTATAGTCTATCATGATTTACAAAACCACAATGCTAGCAAGAGACAGTGTGTGTGTGGGAGAGAGAGAGAGAGAGAGAGAGAATGAGAATCAAAGCCTGCCGGTC